GCGTTCCCGTTTTTAAGCTTGTGTTATCTCTTCTTTTTTCCCGATTTTGTAACAGAGCAAGTAGCAATTTCCAATTTCCCGGATGTAGGTATTTGCAATTTTGCAGCCGTACCAGCCAGCCATCCACCAGATTAATATTTATTCCCTCCTCAGAAACGTTACGTGAACCCTACGGTACCTCCTACCTCCCATTCAAAAGACTGACAATTTGGACGCGACCAAAAATCCGTGACTGTTTATTGAATATTTTTTTTGCTGCCCTAGGCGTTCGTCACTACATAGAGGGCTCAGGTATGGTGGGAGTACTTCACAAGGGGCAAGGTTTCCCTCCATATGTTGATCTGCCGCGCTCGAGTAAATTCAAAAAATCCGCGCTTGGGCTCCTCTACTGTAATGAATGCCAATATTAATAAAGATCTAATGATGTTGGGTATCGGAGAAGATATGTTAAGGGAACCCTCTGGTACCTCCTATTTAAAAGACTGACGATTTGGACGCGACCAAAAGTCCGTGGCAGTTTGTTTAATTTTTTTTTTTGCTGACCTTCTCGTTTATCACTACATAGAGAGCTCAGGTATGGTGGGAGTACTTCACAAGTGGCAAGGTTTCCCTCCATATATTCATCTGCTGCGCTCGAGTAAATGCAAATATCAGCGCTTGTGTTTCCCTACTATAATAAAAATAAACGCTAATATTAATAAAGGTCTAATAATGTTGGGTATCGGAGAAGATAAGTTAAGGGAACCCTCTGGTACCTCCTATTTAAAAGACTAACGATTTGGACGCGACCAAAAGTCCAAAGGTATGGTGGGAATACATAACACGGGGCAAGGTTACATAACTCCATATGTTAATCTGCCGCGCTCGAGTAAATCAAAAATCCGCGCTTTGGCTCCTCTACTATAAATCTATAAAAAACGCCAATATTAATAAAGATCTAATAATGTCGGGGTATCGGTTATTACTGTTATTACATGATTAACTATGTCAACAAAATTCTGTTTGGAGATCCTTAACCTATTGCCCTACAGCGACCCATGTAGAAAACTAGGCCTATAGTCAATAATATAAAATTTTATTAATATCGAAACGGTGTGTAAAAAGTTTTCCTTTTCTCTTACCTAACTTGAACCTTATACCGAAGGAACAAAGGCGATTTAAGATGACTCATTTGCGTGGATTTAACCGTTGGACCAAGTTTTAGTACCTATAATGGCAACAAGCTAGTGTTTTTGTATCGATATCGAGAGCCTTATCCCGTTAGCACAAAGACTATTTTAATAAGCACTTGTGATATTTAATAACTTGTCAACCTCTTATACAAGTGATATGGGTGAGGGTGTGAAAAGAAAACTACTCGTTTCTTTGCCATAAAGTTTATCCTGTATAAACATATTTAATATAAAACGTGACAAAGTATAAAGTACTATTATTTATAACATACTTGCTGCCCTGTCCAAAGAACAAGAACAAGCAGGAGGCCTACTCTATTTTAACGAAAAACGAAATTTCGAACGTTCCTTACTCAGTTTCAAAAGTTGAATTTGACAGATAATTGTTCGAAGTTTTAATCTCAAATTGACGAAATGAAAAGTGTTACCTTTTCATTTTCGTTTTGGGATTTTTCTTTAAATTAAACCTAAAATTACTACTAGAGTATTTTTAATTAAGGCTGCTTAACGTGAGGAACAATTTCTAGTATGAAAAATTTACAAATAAATCAATCATTTTTGTTTATTATTGTATTGCCAATAATTCAAAGTGTTACACGACTGATTTAGATTGACATACATTCGATTGCATCAACTCTACAAATTAGTCGGCTAACACTGTCAAAAGAGGTTTTTTTTAATGTAATCAAAAATGTTGTCATACAAGTAATATTGTTTTGAAGTAAAAAAGTTATCTAAAAAGTATAGACAAAAAGAACTCACAAACATAACTCATTCCATTCGTTCACGATAATTTACTGTGATTCCGAACTTTATGTGCATGTTCGAAGGTGAAATAGAGTGACTGGCGAAATTTCGTTTAAAATTCATTCGTTGCCGAAATTTCGTTTCAGAGAAAGAGAGTAGAGCTCCAGTATAGTGTAATAGGCTCCTATGAAATTTGTGCGTATTTGATTTCATTCTTTAGTATAAAGCCTTGTTACCTATTACCAATCAGGTAAGTATTGAATTATTTGAGGAGCTGGCGAACAAAACGGTATAATTCTGCATCTGCGACGCATCTGGTCAAACTACTTCTTTTTACAGTCCGGAGGTTTCGGGTCCTTTGAATTTCAATCTCAAATAATTTTCAATCAAAACCGCCTAAAACAGTGTTAAAATAACTAAATTTGTAAATTCAATACCATGCCAAAAGCTCACTGTATGTATGTCATTCACTTTTATACAGCTCCTGTAAAATTTAATTTTATGTAATTATACCGTTCGCCAGCTCCTCATTTGTGTGTAGTTAAGTACCTACTTGGTTTTCGGAAACCATGGTGCCAGATTGAATGCCCTTTGTCTTGAGTTAAGTCGAGTAATTTCAAACTTACTTTATCTGTCTATTAGACACACTGAACAGAAATTAGACTTCTAACATAATTATGCGTTGGAAAACTAGCAGCCAGGAGGAACGTCCGATAAGCCCGAAAACATTTTTTTTTATAAAGAAAATCCATCCAAGCGCAAAATACACAAAGTATTCCGTCCTTAGCATATGAAATAATACTTGTAATAGGTACCAATTGCAACCAAAACCATGCATGAAAACTTTTTATTACGACCATACATACTCGTATCAATGTAGACTCTGGACTTTCACGAGCGGCGCTTTATAAGTTAGCACTTAGATTAAAACAAAAAGGGAAAATACGGTGCTCATAATAGCATCAAATAAAATATGCTCCGACTCAAGTACATATGTAAATCTCACGCATGCACACTTCTGTAAATAACATTCAATCGAACGAACGAGACAGAGCTGTACCTCTAGCACGAACCAATATCGAATTCGTATCGTTTGCGAGTCCGAAATGTCATTGTTAAATGTGTACTAATTTTTAGTTCTCGTTACGTACTTTGTGCCGCTGCTGTTCAAGTTTCTATACAAAATTTGACATTGACGTTTCGGTTTGCAAAATATTCGATTCGAACCATTATCGAGGTTCGCGAAACGGCGGGTCCGCGTCGCTTGGCAACCGACTGCGTATTCTTTTCTCTCTCTACAAACAACTGAGCTGTATTGTTATTCTTTTCTTGATAACAAATGGCGAATAAGTAAATAACATTCATGGCAAACCGTGATTTTTGAGAATAAAAGTTTTTATAGTTTTACGAATAAAAAGTGTTGCCATGAAATTTGTTATTTGATCTTGAACTATGTATTTGTATTCTTTATAAATGTATCGAAAGCACTTTTTTATCTTTATAACACAGAATATATTATATTGGTGTACATGCAGCATGTTTGAATGTCGAATAGGCTAGTTGACTCATGTCGAATTGTATTAAATAAATGTTTATTTCTTAAAGTATTTCGTCTAAGGAACCTAAATATATCGATTTCACTTCATAAAAGCAGAAGATTGCTGTAGAAATTTAATTTAAAAAAATATTTTTTAGTCTATATTTTCTAAACACTAAAAACGCTATTCGCCACATCCGCCATGATTGTGACGTCTCTTATGGTAAACAACTAAATGTCATTCGCGTGTTACTGTGGGTGGATTCTTTCGTCTGACTAAATTTATCTTAAAACACTTTTAACTTTAGAAAAGTTTCCGTTTACTGTTTTTTTTTTGAAAAAACTAATTATGGATGCCGGCTTTATGAAAACAAAAAGCACAAATCTGCCAAGAATTGACGCATTCATGGTTGGTGAATTTATTGCACTAAACTCCGATTTCTGCTCTGCGGAGCAGAGAAACGACAAGGCATCTATGTAAGTACAGTGTATTTAGTATTACAATGGTGTTGATTCTGGCGTGATTCTCTAAACTTAAAACTAAATTTAACATCAGGCTCTCCTTTTCATTCTGTATAGAGAATGACAAGGAGATACTGCTGTCAAATTTAAGTTTAGGTTTAGAGAATCATGCTAGAATCGACACCAATGTAGTAATAAACATAAAACTGATACAACATATGAATAAGTGTAATAAAGTTGCGTAGCTTAATTTCTTTCGGCACTTTTAATCCAAAACTTTCCTGGAGTCTTCAAGGATGTGTTTTTATATTCTCGTACAATACAATAATGATAATTACTTTATTTTTCGGGGTATTTATTAGAAATCATCTTTTGATTATTATAAAGTCAGTTAAGTTATTTTCTACGTGCTTACGAGTTTTTGTTTATTTACCTTTCCTATGTGTTTACTGCAGTTAACGTCATAGCATAGATAATCTATAGACTAAAATGGCAGACAGCGTTTTTGTATATCCATGAAAAATCTATTTTAAAATTAAAGATATGTAGCTTTTTAGGTCTCAAAAAAATACAATACATTTTTTTTCGGTCTAATAGAACATTTATTAACCATTTAAAACCTTTTTCCAAAAAGGGTCAACTAGCCTATTGTGTGTGACTAAAAAGAATTGTGGTCTTGCACCACAATATAAGCGGTACACTTTTGAGCCGCGAGTGAGGTATCTTCCCTTTTTGTTTTAATCTAAAACAAGACCGGTTCAGTAGCTGCTGTCCGAATGATGGTAATCAACTACCCTACCCCAGACTATATAGACACATTATAGCACTGCCCCGTTATTAATAAACGAGGTATAAGTTTAGACTAGTAACACCGTGTTTTGTTCCTATCACTCAAATGCCATTTGTCATTCAATGAACAAAGACAAAACATGGAGTAACTAATCCAAGCTTATTCTTTGTTTATTAATAATGGGGCTGGTGTTGCATATCCCAATTACCTGGCCTGTTTGCCTTTCAAATACCCTACAACGTGGCACTCTGGAAACCTTAAGTAATATTTTTCTTAATATCTATTGTTATAGTTGCCGGAATTCGACTGGAGCTCGCAGACCAAGGGGCTGATATTGAGCTCCTTCTTCTACGGGTACCTGGTGACGCAGCTGCCCGGCGGCTGGCTCGCTGCTAAAATAGGAGGTAACAGGTTTGTTAAGGTTCGCACACCACACATACACTGAGGCAGATGAGGGCAACAATTAATGGTAGGCAATAATATTATATGTATAAGAGCAGATATGTCTTAAGCAAAAGAAGATGCGAAAACAGCCCAATAGGGGTGATGACGGGGTACAGTAAACGAATTCTATTTAGTCCGTCAGTTAGATGATCAAAAAGTAATGGACACGTATTTTTTCTTTGGGCAATCAACCAAAAAATGACAAAGTTATAGCGCGTCAAAGTTTGGGAGTAGGGGCTCGTGACGTCACTTTTAAGTGAAAATTGTACCAAAACGTGACTTCATGCGACTTTTCTAATCAATATATCTCAGCAATGTTTATATTATGTGAAAAAAGAAAAAATACGCGTCCAATACTTTTTAATAATCTACCTGATAAACGAAGAAAAAAAAATGTCATCATCCTTATTGGAGCGTCTTGACGACTTATAAATGTTACTCTGTGCACAAGAAAACATTTGAAGTTGGAACAGGTTTTAAACGTAATGTGCACGTAAAATATCAATAGAAATAATATAACATCGATGATAGGTTTATGAATGAAAAAGCAAGTAGTAAAATTAGTATTTTTAATCGGGTTGTAAAGACTACACGTCTTTGTTAAGTATTTACAATTAATGTAAATACTTATGAAGTCCGTAAAAAGTGGATATTCATCATTCTGTTATGTATTTCAGTAAGAATAACCAAATCAAAAACTCCATTTCAAGTTGCCGCCAGCGTTTTTCTGGACAATATGGCGTCTTACTAGTGTGTGACGTCACACCACTGTTATTAAAATGTCAAACGATACAGTGTAATGTCACTCTAACCGGAAGTTTACTTGCGTGTGACGTCATTTTAGGCTCCGCCAATCCTAAGCGTTTTGGGTCACGTGACAATAGATATGAAAACTATTATATTTTTAGTGGGTTTTTAGTAAAATTATGAATATATTTATCTTTTGTAAAAATAGTAAAAACCCCTGCCAATATTCATTCTTAACACGGATGCTAACAATTGGCACTTTATTTTTAATACTGTTAAATACCCTATTGATTGGGAAAACATATATGTATGTGCCTTTTTTATTCCCACCATTCAAGAGGTTCCCTCTATCTAGCAGGATCTTGTTGTCCCGAAATTCACTGTAACTACATAAAGCATATACTAGTATATAAGGTAATAATTATGCCACGAACTACACACATCAAAAGTGTCTAGGGATCAACATATATTTTTGCAATAACTTTTCTCCTGATTGATATTAATTAAAATTTTCTTTAAGGATTCATCAAATAAAGTGTTTTCGTTTGTCACAGTAACGATAAACCAAGTCACCTTTGCATTAATAAAGAAATTTGCCATTTTCCTAATAAAGGGATTTTTGACATTTGAACCACTAACACAAAAGTTCGAAAAAAAGACTGAAATAACAGTTTTCTCTAAAATTTTATTGGGTAACTTAAACAATTAATAATCCGTATTTCTACCGCGAACACTAACAACACAAGAACATCGGTTTGGCATACTCAAAATGAGTTCATCCAAATCACGCTGTGGAATGGCCGCCCATGTTCGTTGCAACAACAAAAAAAGGTCTTCTTGCGACTGGATACCCTCCATATTCGGCAGAGCTCTTCTCTGTAGCATATCCCATGCATGCTCAATCGGGTTCAAGTCTGGCGACTGAGCAGGCCAGGGCAGGACATTGATGTTAGCTGCGGCGAGAGTCTGTCTTACAACTCTTGCGGTGTGCGGTCGTGCATTATCATGCATTAACTGAAATAAGGGACCGATTTGCACTTGTAGAGGAACGATGACGTCTGATACAATCGTCTCAGCATAAATTTGAGCGTTGAGGTTGCCTCTGATCCAAATCAACTCAGTTCTTCCGCCGATCCAAATACCCGCCCATACCATGATGGTTCCACCACTATAAGGATGGACTTCCTGGCAGGATTTTAATCGCTGTTGGCGTCCAGGGGTTCTCCAGTGTCGTATACGTCTTGTATCCGGTCTCATACCAAAACGAGACTGATCAGAAAAGCACACGAAACGCCATTGTTCTTCTGCCCAATTTCTGTGTTCAAGAGCCCATTGATATCGAATCCTACGATTGTGCATTGCTATAGGTGGTACCCGTAGCGATCTTCGGGAATGAAGGTTCACTTCATGCAAGCGGTTTCTGACTGTTTGGTCGCTAATTAAGTTCCCTGAAGAGTGATGAAGCCTCACGGCTAACATCATGGCGGTTATTGTTGGAGCTCTTCGAGTTAAGATTTGAATGTATCGGTCTTGTCTCCGTGTGGTGCAGCGATACCGTCCTCCATGGCGCTCAGCTACGGTACCAGTGCTTCGGTATCGTGTCCAAAGTCGACTGATAACACTCTGACTTGTATTCAGAGCTAAAGCCACAGTACGTTACCGGGAACCAGCTTCTATCATTCCCACGGCTCTGAGCATTTCTTCCCTGCTTAAATGACGTCGCCGCTCCATAATAACGTTGGTTTTAATCAGTAGTAGGGAAACAGTAGCACTAATAATGTCTTCAATGCGTTGTATGTTTTTATAGGGAAAATATTGACAGCTGATTTTCATCTTTTACTCGAATTTGATTCACAGTTCCTGATTCAAATTATGAAATGCACCAAAAAGGATCCATATAAATTTATTACAAAGCCACATCTCAATCTCAAGAAATCCGCATAAAAATGCTTGATCCCTAGACACTTTTCATGTGTGTATTAGTACTTAATATTACTCGAGTTTCCACCATACGAGGCCTAGTATTAACCTTTGATAATTAATTACTTTTCGATAATGATTTAAGTGTTACGGTAACTCAAGCGTCTAAGGCGCTCGGGTTTTTAGTCTTAATGAAGATATCACATGTTTTAAACACAGCCATCAATAATAAACAGCAAAAAACATTTTCAAATTTACACACGGCCATGGACCATAATATAAGGACTAGCAATCCCAAACGCGTATATCAAAATTAATTAACTTACAGCTCACTAGATGTCTCCAGAGGTATGAACATGTGAAAATAATTCATATTTTTTTATTAAAATTCCATCAGCTACTTTTGACATAGCATAGCAGTACTGCAAACCAACGTTAGATGGCGCTTATCAATAAGTTTCTGACCTATTGCAGCTACTTCAATGTAATAAAACAATTAATAAAAATTCTGTCCAGAACGGCGGGGCCGATTTAGCTGATTTTGGTTTTAAAATGTTTTGTTGTAGTCCCGGGAAGGTTTAAACGGTGAGAAAATAGGAAAATTGCGAGGAAGATAATAAAAACAACAATTTAGTTTTGCCATAGGTATAAACTTATCTACGATATGAGGAGCTGGTGAACAAAACGGTACAATTACGCATTTACAGTCTAGTGGTTTCGGGCCCCATTTTTTACAGTCTAGAGGTTTCGGACCCTTTTAATTTGAATCTCAAATAATTTTCAGTCAAAACCGCCTTAAACAGTGTTAAAATTACTAAATTTATTAATTGAAAACCATGCCAAAATTTCACTGTAGGTATATCATTCAGTTTTATACAACTCCTGTAAAATTAAATTTTATGTAATTATACCGTTTTGTTCGCCAGCTCCTCATATATCCTATAGGTGATACGAGGTACACCGGGTCATATAGAAGCCAACAAATATTAATTATTTGGGAGACCTAAGATTTTGTAACGTTCCCCCTAGAATGAGCACCGCGATATGAAATATATTCATCACATTTTTATTAAATCTAACTCCATAGTACAGATAGCCACAGGTAATGGTACCCTAATACTGAACAATTATATTTTTTAGCTTATTTAATTAATCGAGAACATTTGCAATTTTGAGTTAACTCGATGTGTGGCTGTCTGTACTATTGAGTTTGACAGACGGACGTTAAAACGTGTCTTATCTTTCACTGGAAAATCATTAATGAAACTGGCCATAATATGTCACAGTATTAACCAATAATAATTTATTGTACCATCTGGTGGCAACAGATGGCGTTGTAAATGAGGTAGAAGTACTGGCCCACAAAATAACCAATTCTAAAAATAAAATGTAGGTAAATGTTAGATGCAAATTAAATAACATGTTTGCATTTTAGTTTTCATATAAACTAAACTATGCTATCTTAGAACAAGTCCAAATTAATTTGTTAATTTTTTATGCATCTAACCTTGTGTATCTCGCAAATACCTACTTCCTTACACAACTTTTATATTTACCATTTACCAAAACAGTTTCAATCCTCATGTCTTTGGCTGGAGCATCTTTGTTTAAATGCCTTATTTTTTAATTTTCAGGGTATTCGCGATCGGCATCGGGGCGACTTCGCTGCTAACATTGTTGACGCCACCCCTGGCGTATACGAGTACGGCCCTGCTCATTGCTGTACGAGTCGTCGAAGGACTGTTCGAGGTATGAGTCGCGAGAAAAACTGTTCAGTCCTACAGTAAGACAGTTTTTTTTTTCTTATCGGTTGAACAGATGTATGAACACCGTTCCGTTTGAAAATTACTCGAGCGCGGTAGAATAATATAAGAGAACCTAGTAAACTACTCCCACTCTACCCTCCAGTAGCTCCTATTCAAAAGACTGACGATTTGGACGGAACCAAAAGTCATTTTGTCTTGTTGTTTTTTTTTTCCTTGCCTAGACGTTCAGCTTTACATAAAGGGCTCCAGTTAGGGTTACCAGATTGAGAAATCAAAATTTCTGGACAATATTATAAAATATCTGGACATTAGGATTTTTGGCTGGACAAAAAAAATCAGCATGACTATAAAAAATTCTTATTATTACAAAACAGAATTAATATGAAATAACTTTTTTGCCACATACATTAATCAGCATTATCATATTTTTTATTAGTATTACAAAACAGAGGAACCATAATCAAACAAAATTAATATGAAATCACTTTTTCTGCCACATATATTTAGCATTTCCTTTAGCCGCATTTATCATTTTAGAACCTTTATCTGTATTTAGAAAAGATTTAAATTTAGTACAAGTTTCGTCAAAGTTCAATCGATTTATTGAATTCAATCCCGGGCATAGATAGCAAGAGGCCGCAGCGGAGCCAGTGTTGCCAACTCGGTGGAAAAACCACTAACACTGGTGGTTTTTAAATTTCATCTTCATTTTAGCTGGACATTTTGCCTAAAACCGGGACACTGGACAACGTGTGAAATAGCTGGACAATCCAGCCAAGTCCAGTCAATCTGGCAACCGTAGCTCCAGTACACTTGGGCTGCCGCGCCCGCGCATACTTCGAATTAAATCGTGCCGTTTGAAAACCCGCGCGCGCCCGCAGCGGGTGCCCCTAAAACCACTCTGCACTTTGGTGCGCTCTGCCGGCGCAAATTGCATATTTTACCTTCAATTTCGCATTCTACGGGAGTTGCGGTCTCGCAGCCGCAGAAACTTTCGCCGTGAGTTCTCAGAAGAGATGGGCGTTTTTACAAATTTATAAAATCGATGCCAATTGAATGTAGTGTCGTATTATCATAGGATACGATGCGATTACAATTACGACAAATGCGTGTTTTTTGTGGGTGTGTCTCTTCGATTCCATGAATCCATGACTTGAAAATGTAATCGAAACCATTTACTTACTCTCGGTATGGTAACTGAAAACATTGAATACTGGCAAAATTTATAACATAAAAAATTGCACTCGGAGCATGGGTTTTGAACGCAGTCCAGTGCCACAAACTGTGCCGATGGTAAAAATTTGAACTACAATTTATCCATAGCATTTCGACATTTTCATGACATATTTGTTCACCGCTAGCGACATCTCCACCGGCACAGATAAGTTTGTGGCACTGTTGCTATAGTAACGTTGACAAAAACTAGATGGCATTGGCGTCCAATAACGGCATCCATCGTTATCGCGCATCGTTATTCTAAAAACGCCCACCCCTAGTTCTCAGTGTATGAGCGCGGGGAGTTTTTGGCGCGATTTCATCGAGTGCCGGTGGCGTCTTATATTAATTGTTTTTAAATTCGTTTATAGTGGATATTGTGAAATAAAATTGGTGTGATTTTGTGTTTCAACCGTCTGCACAACTGAATAATTAGTGGTATCTTTACAATATACGCTATTCCGGTCAAGTGGACGTGAGAACTTTATTGTAGTGTTGACTACCTCACAGAAGCTTATCGTAAAAGCCGACTCGATACATTTCGTGCCAAACACTCCAAGAGACATTAGAAAGAGTCACACCGACAATCTAATGTAAAAAAAAAGATTAATAAAACTTAAGACTAGGCTGTATGGGCATTGTTCCCTTTGCCTTACTTGAAAAGTCCCTCTAATAGAAAAAGAAAGAAGATGAGAGACCGCTAGCTTTCTCTCTCTAATCGCGCATGCGCATTGGTAACCGTAAGCATCTTACTATTTCGATGTGATTCCATTGGATGCCATGCGTCACAGGAGAGAGAGAAAGCTAGCTACCTCTCATCATCTTTCTCTTTCTATTATAGGGACACTTCCACTTGTAGTATAGTCTATATCTCCCCTATTCTATTCTTATACCTCTATGTCTACACACAGGACCGAGCTCATGCATTTTTTTAAATATTCTCCCCTTTTAAGGAAACAATGCCCATACAGCCTAGTCTTAAGTTTATTTTTGAATGACAATGTGACTCATTCTAATGTTTCTTGGAGTCTTTGGCACGAAATGAATCGGGTCAGCTTTTTCTATAAGCTTCTGTGAGATAATCAACACTACAATAAAGTTCTCACGACCACTTGACCGCGTATATTTTAGTAGTAGAGTCTATATCTCCCCTACTCTATTGTTATACCTCTATGGGTCCTTGTGTAGGGCGCGACGTACCCGTGCATCCACGCGGTGTGGTCGCGCTGGGCGCCGGCCGGGGAGCGGGCGTGGCTGGCCACGTTCGCGTTCAGCGGCAGCTACGCCGGCACCGTGGTGTCCATGCCGAATCTTACTATTTCGATGTGGTGCCATTGGATGCAATGCGTCACAGGAGAGAGAGAAAGCTAGCGGCCTCTCATCATCTTTCCCTTTCTATTATAGGGACACTTCCACTCGTAGTAGAGTCTATATCTCCCCTATTCTATTCTTATACCTCTATGTCTACACACAGGACCGAGCTCATACATTTTTTTAAATATTCTCCCCTTTTAAGGAAGGTAAAGGAAACAATGCCCATACAGCCTAGTCTTAAGTATTTTTTTGTGTAGGGCGCGACGTACCCGTGCATCCACGCGGTATGGTCGCGCTGGGCGCCGGCCGGGGAGCGGGCGCGGCTGGCCACCTTCGCGTTCAGCGGCAGCTACGCCGGCACCGTGGTGTCGATGCCGCTGTGCTCCTTGCTGGCTGCTTACACCGGTTGGCCCGGCATCTTCTACGTGTTCGGTGAGCATTTTAGTTAGTTTTTCAGTCGCCCTCGCGAGAGGCTAATGGCTGGTTATTTATATAATTTATTCGGTATACATAACATGTTACAATCAACAAAGTACTAACTTATTAATAATTGAGGAATCGATCAAGATTGCAACACTTAACATGCATACACAAAAAAATTCGTTATATAAAACAAAGGACAATATATCGATATTAACTGTTACATTGCACTGAATTAATAATAAAAACAAATTAAATACTATAAATTAGATAAAATTACTTACAATTGATTTAAGTATATTACATTTATGAAATTATATTGCATTACAATAAAAACAAAACATTAGCAAATCAATTAAATAAGATATTATCAAGTACATATTTAATTAAATAAATCAAGAAACAAATATATTTATTAAATAAATCAAGCTAAAAGAAAACTTATTATATTAAAGCGCTTAGCCTACGATTAGGTTAACATTATCTTAGTGTTTAGTTGAGTGCTTTAGAAGAGTAATTTATTAGAAACATGTAAACTGTAGCTTCCAGTGACTCTCTTTAGTACGATTCCACTCGCCTTTCAAATAGAAACAAAATAGGATCGGTTTCTATTTCTGTTTCCAGTGGCACCCCTCCCGCGCTCACTCATCCCCCCCGCGCTTTATTATCCTTGATACTGGCAGTGTGTAAAAGGACAATTTAGTCAACAGTTTAGTAGAGTGCATTAGTGCAGGTGGACACGGGCATTAATTAACATTGCGAAATGGTTAGAAGATACGACTCTGAAATTTGTGATTGTCATTGTTCCGTCATTCTTATTGAATCGCGATACTCTTTGCGGTCTTCAATAGCTAATTCTTTTCAGCAACAAGGTATTTGCTCCAAGTGTAGGTCTACAACTAATCTATTTGCGCACCCATACACGTTTTGGTTTATTTATTCCAATAAAATTTCTTCTTCTATTTTTCCATTACAATACCCAGTATATTGCACAAAATAGCGCGTATTGCACGATGCAGCTCATCCATCTTGGTGACGAAATAGAATGGCACCAACTCTTCTAAAGCACACACCTGCTTTACTCTACTAAACAATAAGATAATGTTAACCAGCCATAAGTTTCGTATCTATCTATTTTCGTTCATATCGTTTGATAATATTTTTCCTTTACCTCGAGTTGATTTTTGATATGATCCGACCATTCTTTAAATAGATAAACTTAAAAAATGGGGAGCAAATATTAATATAATGACCTTTGTTATTTCGTTTTTCGTATTACCCGTCGAGCTAGAATTTATTTATTTAATTATTGACTCCACACATAGGTACCTACAGAATATGGTGAAAATCATCATTGTACAAAACTATTGGTAGCGATACTACAGCCAATATTACGATGAGCATTCTTCTTTATCTAAAAACATGTCAATTATGAGTTGCGAGTTAATTTAATCCAATAGACTTAAAATGATGTACAAATACTAAGTAACGAGTAATTTCACTTAGTCAAGATAAAGTTTCTTGGTCCTGAATTGCTCTAGGATTTAGCTGCGGTTCAAGTTTATAGAGATTGTAAACGTTAGATTCGACATACATATAAATTAAGCACTTTCATTTGAATGCCTGATACATATGCCTGAAGTTTATGGCATGGTTCATTTTATAATTTTATCCTATTTGAATATTTGGAACCCCTAAATATTTATTTACATAATTTTAGCTTCTCGAGACGACAACTATAATTACTACTATAGTATAAACTTGACTGTACTTTATAATAATTAATTTACGCTTTTAGATTCACTTGCAACAATTTTGCTAAAGGAAAATTAAAAAGCCATACAATAATGTCAATGACCAATTGAAATTTTGTCATTTTGCAATGACATAAATCTAATTTCAGTTAAGTCGGGATTTCGCAAAATTGCTGCAAGTAGACCATTTTTCGGTGATATTTTCAACATTCACCTTTTATTTGTTTTTGGTTTTGCATGTCATATTTACCCTGTTATTGATGTCGATTCAGGCGTGATTCTCTAAACTTAAAACTAAATTTAACATCAGTCTCTCCTTTTCATTCTGTATAGAGAATGACAAGGACGCACTGTTGTCAAATTTAAGTTTAGCTTTAGAGAATCATGCTAGAATCGACATCACTGTTTCTTACATTTGAGGAGCTTAGGAACAAAAAGCGTCATTTACGTATTTTGCTCAATTCGGCTTTTTTATTTTAATCGGCTCATAATGTTAAATACTATATGTAACTTCCAAGTAATTGTTGAAAAAGTCAGTAGTTTCAAAAAAAAAATCGATGTGCTGCTTTGGGAACAAAAAGTTACATTTTTATTCAATCACAGTGATTTTGAAGATTCAAATTCAAAAGTGACATATTCTTAAGAAATATGTTTGAAGCGTCTTTAGTCGGTTCAAACCGGGTACATTTAACCCAAAAAAATTAATCGATTTTAAAATATTGTTAAAGTGCTACCTATTAAATAATTTTGTACATTGACAACACTGATTCATCTAGTTTAGTCCCAGATTACAAGAAATGGAACTGAAGCAATAGTTAAAAAATTTCAAAACTTTAGATTTCAAAGTAGTACAGAAGAAAAGGGTATAAATCTCTTAAAGCGGAAAATTAACCTAAGCAATGTTAACTTAGTTGAGAAGGAATTGGGACACTATCAAAGGTGCTAAAAAGAAGGATCTTGAAAGTTTATTAAAAAAGCAGTTTGGAGAAGACTGGAAAAATGAGCCTTCATTAAAATAGTATTGTAATATTTTGTATGAAAGTCATGTAGATGGAAATAAAAATGAAGAAAATGAAAATCATTGTGATTGTTTGGAACCTGATTATGGAGATTTACATATATTAATAATAATAATAATAATAATCATTTATTTTCGGATAACAAGGATCCATAGTAGGTTAGTAACAAACAGATTATACTTAAAAACTAATGTTAGTAAATAAAATTGATTTCTGTGAATCTTTTTTTACTTTTATTTTCATACTGAAAGTTTTATAAAGTAACAATTTTTAGACAGTAAGTTTCAAAAGGTGATATTTTACAAAATTATTGGATCAAATAGGTACATTTACAAGCTATAGGATCAAAGGGTGACATTTGATATGTATTTTATTATTTTTTTTCCAAATTTCAAAACCAGCAAGTTAATATTATAATACATTAAGTTTTATACAATAATTGGCACATAAATGATTAATAAAAAATAATAAAAATTGCTTAGATCAACTTGAATATTTATTTTCTCAATTTACTCAAAAAATTAAAAACTGTAAATGACGCTTTTTGTTCCTAAGCTCCTCATTTAGCATTAACTACAAATTTACTTCTATTAAATAGAAAGTAGTATCAATCTAAACGTCATTTGTTTTACAGGGATACTAGGCTTAGTTTGGACGATGATTTGGTGGTTGGTAGTCAAAGAATCTCCGGAGAAGGACCCCCTCGTCTCACCCGCTGAACTTAAATACATACAGGTAAGGCATAATTTCCAAAGAATTATTAAGCATTTAACTGTGTTTAAAGATGTCGCAATATAAATAAAATGGCGCTACCTTGCAGTCTAAAAAACACTAGAAAGAATTCGACATGGCCATTAGGGCCGCGGTATCATAATGGTCAGTGCATTCGCCCGGAAAGCGGAGGGTGCGGGTTCGAGTCCCATCTGCTGCCTGGTCCTCATGTAATTTTTTCTAGTAAAATTTACTTATTGTTTACTGTTACTGAATCACAAAACAACTGTTTGCTAACTCATTTGTTTGTAAAATGTATATTTTTTTTTTTTATTTTATATACTAATAACAAGCTATTGACACCCGATTTTTACGTTAGTGTAACAGAATCGACACCCAGTTTCGTTATATTTTTATTTAGGATGTTTGTTTTTATATTTGTTTCTTATATTTCATGCACATCACTTATTCCTTTTTAATAGAACCAAATAAGTAGGTAGCTTCCCTTCTCTTTTCTTCACTTTGAGGATCCTGTCCATGTAAGTATTATATAAGAATTGGTTTTAAACATTATGTTTGACATCGTTTTATGGATATTTTAAAGTTAAAAACGTTATATATAAAGAAAATTACTAGATAAAATCTTCTTGACCCGGGTAATCCAGGTCTAATCTAACCATACCATAACCATAGGCAAAATAGTAATTTTTAGCTTTTAGTATTTTTACGGGCTTAAACATTAGCAATGCTGTGCAAGTTAGTGTCTATGTTAATTTTTTGCTCAAAATTTGCTGCTTTGTCTTAGTGTTGGCGCACGCCTGACAACACCAACGCAGAGCGCGGTCTGCTCCATAGTACCGCGAAATTAGAATTTGACACATTCCATTTTCTAACTTTTTGGGCATAATACAGGCAGCGATTGTAATAATTACAAAAGCACATTTTTACTAGTTTGGTATTATTATTTTTACCAATATCTGCACCTACTTTCACGACGCGAACACTAAGTAACCAGCCGCTTTCGCTACCCGGGCGAATGCACTCCCTAGGCTCTTTCGGTAGAATGTAGTTTAGTAAAATTGTAATTCAAAGGTGGTCCTTATTGAAAATACTCACTAAGGACTTCTATACGTTGCATATTATAATGAATATTGACGACCTCCGTGGCCGAGTGGTTTGTACGCCAGGTTTCAAGGTGTCGCCAACTCGAGAGATCCCGGGTTCGAATCTCGGTGGGGGCAGATGTTTGTGTGATGAATACGAGCATTTGTACTCCATTCATGGATGTTTAATGTGTATTTCTATATTAAAATGCTTATATATGTACAGTATTACCCTTGTAAGCCATAACACAAGCCTTCAGTGCTTACTTTGGAGCTCGGCTAATTGGGGTGAATGTTAAAAAAAATACAGTAGCGGGCCATGTTAACTTCCGGGCCAATATAATTTGGGCGATAGTCGTGGTCCAATTAAAAAGTATAAGTTCTTTTATAAAATGACTTATCCGTAGGAATCCCGAGGAAGCTTGATAGAAGGCAACAAGATCCGTCACCCGTGGCGGGCCATGCTGACTTCCGGGCCAGTATGGGCCATAATCGTGGCCCACTTCAGCGAGAACTGGGGATTCTACACGCTGCTTACTTTCCTACCCACCTTCATGAAAGGTAAGTGCTGTCGTACTAGATTTAATTTTACTCTGCTGTTAACCTTGGTAATTTCAGACGAAGGGTCATTCATAGATCACACGTTAAGGGGGAGGGAGGGGTCGACGAAGTGTGACAAGGGCTCCTGAGTTAAGTGACGTCACATTTCACAATCTAATACTTTCGAACTTTATCAAAAAACTTTAAAATATTTAGAGAACTGTATCTGTATGAGTTTTAATTTGTTTTTTGCCTATTTTTCGAAACTAATTACGGAACTGCTGTTTCTAATTAAATAATTTCTAGATACAAAATAGCAAAATATGTGACGTTACACAAGGGGGGAGGCAGGGGGTTAAAATCATGGAATTTGTGTGACGTACTTTATGGATGAAGAGCTCGATGGCGCAGGTGGCTAGCGCGTTCGGCTGCGATCGTTGAAGTTAAGCAACTTTCGCAGTGGTCGGTCATTGGATGGGTGACCAAAAATTTACTATCTCGAGCTCCTCCGTGCTTCGGAAGGTACGTTAAGCCGTTGGTCCCGGCTGCATTTGCAGTCGTTAGCACCCACCAATCCGCACTGGGCCCGCGTGGTGGGTCATGGCCCAATCTCCCTATTCCATCCATAGGGAAGGCCTGTGCCCCAGCAATGGGGACATTAATAGGCTGATGATGATGATGATGACTTTATGGATGACCCCTATAAAGGTTTGACGTTGATCCATTTTAACATTTTCTAAAGTATTTAGCAACATACAATAAGCTCTCACTTCTCTGTAAGAATTCCAGCTTTTATAGTAAATAATATGAATGAATTTGCGATCATTTTAATTGACACGCTGAAGTCATTAGATGAAATAAGTCTCGTCCTTTTCTTCTTAATTGACGAGAAGTTTCATACAAACTTTACCTCTTACTAAGTGAATTTACCTAACTGATGCCTACGTCATAGAAACTATCTGCATACCAAATTTTAGCCCTGTAAGTCCGTCTGGAATTTGAGCTAGTGTTTTGATTGATCTATTTAGTTCGTCTTAGCCGTTATTTATTTACATAATACCTTTATTAAATCGAGATATTAACATTTTATGAAATGTATCTCAAACGTTTTAATAATCATAATCATTTATTTCGTAATAAAGTACACGTCAATAATAAACAGAACAGAAATATATAAAGTACTAAGTAATCATTCAATTAATTCAAAATGTCAAATACAAATATGTCAAAATACAAATGTCAAATAGCAATAATAAAACAAAAAAAAATGAATTAATAAACCAATAGTCATTCGATATTATAAAAAAATAATTAATCAGTCCAATTAATGCAAGGATCTATCATTTAAAAATTTATCGACGCTATAAAAGGTTCTGTCAATGAGCCATAATTTTAATTTATGTTTAAAATTATTAATAACATAATATTGTACACAGTTTTTTAAGCAATAAAGTTATTATTATTATTATTAACCCATATTATTCCCCGCCAGATGTCTTCCACTACGAGACATCGCAGACCGGCTTTCTATCGGCCGTTCCCTACCTAGCGATGGCAATCGTTTTACAAGTGGCCGGTCATCTCGCTGATTGGATGCTGCAGCGGGGATGCATGTCCCGGACCAACTTAAGGAAACTGTTCAACTGCGGCGCCTTCCTCTCCCAGGTGTGCTATAATGTAGACATTATATCCCCACAGGTGTGTTATAATGTAGATATTATTATGGCATCTCGCCGATTGGATGCTGCAGCGGGGATGCATTTCCCGGACCAACTTGAGGAAACTGTTCAACTGCGGCGCCTTCCTCTCCCAGGTGTGCTATAACGTAGACATTATATCCCCACAGGTGTGTTATAATGTAGATATTATTGTGGCATCTCGCCGATTGGATGCTTTATTTACCCCCCACTTAAATAAATATTTCCAACACTCACACCAATTAGCCTAGCCCCAAAGTAAGCACTATAAGGCTTGTGTTATTGGATACTAGGGTAACGGATAGAATACATATCATGAAACATCTGTGCCCACCGGGATTCGAACCCGCGACCTCTCGAGTCTGCGACTCTATTAAACCCGGCGTATAAACTACTCGGCCACGGAGGTCGTCAAAACTGTACACTTTATAAGTCTTCCACACCAACACTTTACTTGCACATTTATCGCCTTTTCGTAATCGCTTTGATAACATATCTTTCCCTTCGCCGAGCCGGGCGCCCTTAAATACGCTCATCAACGCATTCTAGATAAATCTAGTTTAGTTCAATGAGCCCGCTATCGCGTATGAATCCGCCGCTAGAGGCGCTAGTGTAGCGTGAGGTCTCCGAAATGTCAAATGTTATTGCTTGTTGGTTGACCACGCGGGTTTATTTCTAATTAAAATAATTTTGTGAATAATTGGTAACAATTCGGCTTAATTATGGCAAATATGAGTTATGTTCCAATGAATGTCAGTTATTAAAAAATTGAGCTTAGAAAAATGATTATGTTCCCATTTTTTCCGAATAAAACAGAACTGCGCGTCACTGTTGCATGGCCTATTATGTTTAGGATATGGTTCTTTTGTGTTAAAATACGATCTAATCGTAACCTTTGATTTCATGTGCGTACTAATAAACTTTAAAAGTTACAATTTAGGACCTCACTCAACAGTGGCGCCATCTGGTGAGGCAGAAAACGGTAGCCCTCATTGAGAATTCTCTGGTACCTACGAGTACCAATACGTAGGTAGCAACCATGAGTTCATTCGTCTACTCGTTTGTAATAACCGGCTTACCGCCCTAATATCATAATGAAACGGGTGCTGCCAGCGGAGATGAGTCTGCCCTAACTACTTTTATATTTAAGATGTAAATTTCTAGTTACACCTAATATAAATAACACTATTTGTATTTATATTGTATGGCACTATTATTACTATATTATTTGATTGGTAAAAGTCCGGAACTCTGAAGACTGTCATGAATATGCAAATAGCTCAAATAACGCCGATAATGTGATTTATGTTATGCAGCTTTCATTGCACCTTCACCCGTACGCCGCACTGTTAAGGCTCATATCTGAATGGACCGCAACACTCGGTCTTCGTATTTAAGAAGTTCTGTACCCCTAGCACGAACCATTATCGAATTCGAATAGTTTGCAAACCGAAATGTCAATGTCAAATTTTGTATGGAAACTTGAACAGTAGCGGCACAATGTACGTAACGAGAACTAAAAATCAGTACACATGTGACAATGACATTTCGGACTCGCAAACGATACGAATTCGATGTTGGTTCGTGCTAGGGGTACTGGTCGCGAGTAAATCGAGGAGTCTGGGTCTCTTTCCAGATTGTTCATTACATTAAAATGTACTAAGATATTATTATTATACTATTTCAGACGGTGTTCATGGTTCTAGCTGCGTACGCGACTACGGCTACGTCGTGCGTGGCTTTCCTCACTGTAGCCGTAGGGCTCGGCGGTTTCGCGTGGGCTGGGTTCAGGTGAGCGTGCAATTATCGACCTTATTACTGTGTGACAGAGGGAGCAATATGCCGTGCGCAGACACAGATCGAAATAGATACGTCGTATGTGGCTTTCCTCACCGTAGCCGTGGGGCTCGGCGGGTTCGCGTAAGCAAAGTTCAGGTGAGCGCGACATTATCGACCTTATTACTGTGTGACAGAGGGAGCAATATGCCGTGCGCAGACATAGATCGAAATAGATACCTCGTGCGTGGCTTTCCTCACCGTAGCCGTGGGGCTCGGCGGTTTCGCATGGGCTGGGTTCAGGTGAGCGTGCAATTATCGACCTTATTACTATGTGACAGAGGGAGCAATATGCCGTGCGCAGATATAGATCGAAATAGATACCTCTTGCGTGGCTTTCCTCACCGTAGCCGTGGGGCTCGGCGGTTTCGCGTGGGCTGGGTTCAGGTGAGCGCGCAATTATCGACCTTATTACTTTGTGACAGAGGTAGCAATATGCCGTGCGCATACATAGATCGAAATAGATACCTCGTGCGTGGCTTTCCTCACCGTAGCCGTGGGACTCGGCGGGTTCGCGTGGGCTGGGATCAGGTGAGCGCGCGATTATCGACCTTATTACTGTGTGACAGAGGGAGCAATGTGCCGTGCGCAGACATAGATCGAAATAGATACCTCGTACGTGGCTTTCCTCACCGTAGCAGCGGGGCTCGGCGGTTTCTCGTGGGCTGGGTTCAGGTGAGCGTGCAATTATCGACCTTATTACTATGTGACAGAGGGAGCAATATGCCGTGCGCAGACATAGATCGAAATAGATACCTCGTGCGTGGCTTTCCTCACCGTAGCCGTGGGGCTCGGCGGTTTCTCGTGGGCTGGGTTCAGGTGAGCGTGCAATTATTGACCTTATTACTTTGTGACAGAGGGAGCAATATAATAATAATAATAATCATTTTTGATGTGTAACATCTTTCCTCTCGCTTTCGTGCAATTTGTGGGAGTGATTACGTGAATTGGGACGGAAGTGTGTTACAGGAAGTTTGGGAAGCGCGCGCTATTTGATTTGATTTTAGAACATAATTTTCAAATGGCTGTTTTATTTTGTATTAGTTTTTTTTACTAATATTAGGTGAGGTTTCAAATGTTACACATCATGCGCGACTACTGTAAGGCTCGCTCGTTTTTTTTTTATTTCAGATAAACATCCATTAGTTTATCTGAAATATAAAAAAATATTAGTTCAAGTTAGTTACAATGTCGGGCTTATCCTATGTTAGTAGTATTAGTATATTAATAAATCATTCTTAAATTATCAAATCATTCGCCACATTGATTATATTGACAATTAAAATATATTCTTCGTGTCAATTATTTTCAATTAACATTTAATAGATTCAAATAGAAATATATAGGTACATTATTAGGAACATATTTCCAAAAGGGAGAGCCTTCTCTGGGAAGGAAGAACCAAAGGTGACAAAAAGGAGACCAAAGGCCTATTCGTTCTTCGCGATTTGTTTGTTTCACTGTTCTCGACAGATGCCAATTGCTCTTATCCATAAACGTAGTATTCATCTAGGACGACATAAAAAACGCACAGAGAAAATGAAATCTCTAAAAACTAGAACCGTTATGATCTTCTTGTAAGTTGTCGGGTTAAAAAGATACTTTGATTTCAGATGGCGAGTCACAATAGATCTTTTAAGGCGCAGTGACTGCAATTCCATTATGACTGAATAGCTCTGAAATAATGATAAATAATAATGGCTGTAATTTTCTTAATTTATGTATTTAAAGAAAATTTTACTAGAAAAATTCCGGGTTCGCGGACCAGGCAGCATAAGGGACCCGAACCTGCACCCTTCGCTATCAGGGCGTATGCACTGACCATTACGCTATCGCGGCCCTGTCGGCCGCGTCGAATTTTCTCTAGCCTTAAGCTGCAAGGCAGCGCCATCCCCTCGCACTGTAGGCTACCCACAATGCTAAATGAATACCTTTACAAGTATTAAACACTTGAAAGAAGGAATAGCAATTATAGTTATTTTTTTGGATTTTTTAAGTATTCAACTGCTAGATGTTTAAATCTAAAGAAAATACTAGAAAAACTAAACAATAGGGTATTTGACAAGTTTTAGAAAACGATCTCACGTTATTGGCTAATGTTTATGCAGTCTGCAAAAACTGGATATTTATCATTCTGTTGTATTTCAGTAAAAATAACCAAATCAAAAACTCCATTTTCAAGGTGCCGCGAAAACGTTTCTCTGGACAATATGGCGTCTTACTAGTGTGTGACGTCACACGACTGTTATTAAAACGTCAAACGATACGCGTGTGACGACATTTTAGGCTCCGCCAATCCCAAGCGTTTTGGGTCACGTTACAATAGATAAGAAAACTATTATCTTTTTCGTGGGTTGTTATTAAAATTATGTTTTATTTTTGTAAAAATAGTAAAACCCCTGCCAATAATCATTGTAAACACACATGCTAACAATTGGCACTTTATTTTTAAAACTGTCTAATACCCTATTAGCAATTAAATACTTACTTAAAGAAATCCAAAAATATAACATATTATTTATATCTAAAGAAAAGTTTTTATAGAAAAAAATCCACGCGGATCAGGCAGCGGACGGGACTCGAACCCGCACCCTTCGCAATCGAGGCGAATGCACCGACCAATTATGCTACTACGGCCCTGATGGTCGACATTATACTAGCCTAAGCTGCAAGGCAGCGCTTTAGATTTAAATACTTTTCTTTAGATTTAAACATCTAGCAGTTAAATGCTTTAAAAAAATAAAAATATTATGTTATTTATATTTAAACTTTTCTGTATTAACTTCCAGTGTGAACCATTTGGACATCGCACCTCCCCACGCGAGCGTATTAATGGGAATCTCGAACACCATAGCCACGCTGCCGGGCATCGTGAGTCCTCCCCTTGCCGGCGCCATAGTCACGGACAACGTAAATATATCTATCTATTTATATAAAAATCAATTGCTGTAGAGTCTGTGCGGAAAGAGAATGAGCGTGGCGAAAAACGGAACTAACATTAAGATTTTTATTTGGCAATCAAACCCAGTAATCTGTAAAACGTCAAAGTTTTGTATTAATACGGATTTGTTTGTTGTTGTGATTTCTTACGGTTTTTTATATTTAATCATGTCTAAAAGGTGTAAAACCTTACAAAGAAAAGTACTACAGCGCCCTCCAATCTAAATCCCATTCTCTTTCCGAGTTTCCGCACAGATTCTACCCTTAGTACGAGTTTTACAATTACGAAAACTATGATAGTTTTCGTGAGCCCGCACTCGTACTAAGGGTACTGATTTTATTGTTTTCGTTTCAATACAAATAAACAGTGTTTTAATTCTATAATTAAATCATTTGCGTCTTCTTAATTTTTAAGTATATTTGGTTACTTTTCACCAAAATGGACATAGAAACATATATACAATTACAAAAACTATGATAGTTTTGGTTAGCTCTAACTCGTACTAAGGGTACTGTTCGTTAGTCTCGCTAAAACTCGAGAACGGCTGAACGGATTTATCTTATCTTGGTCTTGAAATGTTCGTGGAGGTCTAGAGAAGATTTAGAAGGTGTAAAAAATAAAAAAAATCAATCAAATTATTGTAAGCATTACGAAGTACGCTGGCTGGGTCGGCTGGTGAATAAATAAATATTCCGCACATTCACACTAATTATACTACACCTTATAGAATACCATAGTCATCATCAACTTATTAATGTCCCCACTACTGGGGAACAGGCCTTCCTTATGGATGGAATAGGGGGATTGCGCTATTACCCACCACGTTGGTCCAGTGCGGTTTGGTGGGTGCTAACGACTGCGGATGCAGCCGGGACGGGAGGAACTTGATATAGTAAATTTTTGGTCACCCATCCAATGACTGACCACTGCGAAAGTTGCTTAACTTCCACGATCACAGGCCGAACGCGCTTATTATCAGTATATCTATCGTCTTAACAATGATTATAACCGTACACCATACACAGTACCCATAGACAAAAGACTGGTGGCATCTCCAACCTTACCACAGACAACGTAAATTTATAAATATATCGCCTACACCATGACCCTGTCACCTATATTTAAACTAACCTTTAGGTTACCAATTATATTTTTAGGTAAATAAGCAATGGTGTCTCTCCTTTTCTTTCTGTGTAGAGAATGACAAGGACACACTGCTGTCAAATTAAGTTTAGGTTTAGAGAATCATGCCACACACCATTCGCCTACCAGTTTTTGAGGATCGTTTTTTTTCACACACCAATCAGCATAGCCCCAAAGTAAGCACTATACCGATATTTATAGAAGTATATTTAAATAGAAATATATATTAAAACATCCATGACAGGAGAACAATGCTCGTATTCATCACACAAACATCAGCCCCCACTGGGTTTCGACCCCGGGACCTCTCGGTAGGCTGACCAACGATATTAAATACCTAGATACACCAATACGAACAAAATCGTGGCCTAAACCTGTCCAAAAGGTACATTGAACGATCCACGGAGCTACGTAAGATGATCGCGTAGTCAAAAACAATATAAGGCATTATTTAAACATTGAAAGTCACCTTTAATGCATATTGTATAAGGTCTTAATTAAAACGCATGCGTCAAAGAGATACGACAATTCGTAATGCAAGCTCATAAAATTTTACGACTTATTGCTATATGCGGGAGAATATAGACCTTATTCTTTTGATTCTACGCACAATTCTGCATGCCCTATTAGCAAAATAGCAGTCAAGAACCGCGAGAAAAAAGAAGGCTATATTACCGACCATGCATTTGAATATCACAAATATTTTCAATTAAATCAGTTTATGGTAAATATTTGAACAAAATTTGCTTCAAAAGCGTTAAATTAACAAACATTGATTAAAAACCTGTCGAAAAAACGACACTTAGCGTACTATAAGTATTGTTTTCGTATTTTTTCATGGAGCTCTGCAGCATCTTTACTTTTTAACGGTCCGCACGTAACTGTGAACCAAGAAGTGTTTGAGTGGTGTTCAAGCACTTCTTGATTGGGACACATTTTGAGCGCATGTGGTGTATCTAGGGTACCTAATATCGTTGAGGCGGACACATTGAAACCTGGAGTACAAACCACTCGGCCACGGAGGTGATCATTTTGCTTATTGAATTTGACATTAATTATTACATTGTGATTTCACAGAGTGCGGAGCAGTGGCGTATAGTTTTCTTCATATCAAGCGCCATCTATCTATTCGGGGCCATAGTTTACGGGATTCTATGCTCGGCCGAGAAACAGCCCTGGGTACTGACGCCCACGCCCAGCGCTGGGCATGACAATAATGCATTAGACTATAGCTCGGAAATGTGAACTTTTACTGTAGAATATTCTAAAGGAAATTTGACTAGAAAAAAAATTCAACTCGCTCGAGGTTGCAAACTGTACTAGAGTTATCCGAGTTGAATTTTTTCAAGTAAATTTTGATTAAGCTTAAAATTAAAATTATAATAATCTATTAGACAATTCTGTTAAATCTTATAAAGTAACACCCGGTTTCTGAAAGGCCGTTCAACGATAAAATTAACTACAATGCTGACGGGTCATGTCAGTTCTTTATGGCGACGAATTAAAGTATATTTTCGTACCTTTTTTTACTAGATCGAAAGTATCTATAAGTATTTTCTTTCGGAAACAAATTGATTTTGTTAAATTTTAAGGGCATGCTAGTTGAATAATGGTTTGAAAAGCTTTTGAGAAACCGGGTGTACAGTTCGGAAATGTAAAAGTTATCTGTTGAAAATTCTGTTAAAACCAATATGCATTTCTGACAACAAGTAATTTAAAATCTTTTCATTTAACTGTAAATGTTATACATTGAACTTTTATTTTATGAGTACGAATCCTCTTTATCAAGCAACAACAAAAATTGTCTTTCTATTTTCTATTTAATGTCTATTGGCCCTTCGTTGTTCTCTTGGGACAATTTTGGAAATACATATAAGAAAACGTGATGTAGATAAAATGAAAAAGTAATTCAATTAAATTCCACTGTAAACTTAAAACTAAATGTAACATCAGTCTCTCCTTTCAATTATGTATAGAGAATAACAAGGATACACTGTTGTCAAATTTAAGTTTAGGTTTAGAGAAATATGTCAGAATTGACACCATTGAGGTATAAAAACATGTTGACACCCAATCACCTAGCAAAAGTGCATCAAAAATCGTCCTAGTGGCGCTGTGTTATACATATATGAACATATTCAGATGACATTAACACATTTGTTCAAATTAACACTTTATTTCGTGGCAGTAAGGCCGTATACAGAAAGAAAGCCGAAAGCCGATCGGCGCCCATCAGCGCCGATCGGCGCTTATCGGCGCCTATTGACGCTGATCCTTTTTCTATGGACCGGCGCCGATAAGCGCCGACACGCGCTGGTCCGAATAATAAATAATTTGTATTTGAATTATTATCCTTAGATTAAATCAATCTAAGTTATAATCTTTTTATAAATCTAATAACTTTATCTTTTATTAACTAAGCGCTAAAATTATTTGTTTCGTACTTACCGAATGGTGACAACAAGTCTTTCTTCTGGAAGGATCGGTTGTTTATGCCAATTGCCCCAATTTTTCATCAAACGGTTTTTCACTAAATCCAAAATGTAATAAAATGTTTCTTGAATCATTCTTGTATATGTATAAAATCTTTGTTCATCAAATTTTTTTTTTTTACAAATAAATGATGGTATTCTCCGAAACGTTTCCTTTCTCTATTTATAGGATGCATAGCTGTTTTTCGCATTTTTAAATAAATATTTTCTAACAAAACCAAATCATCGTCCGATGAGTCCGACATTTTGCTTGATCTGCTTTAATCGGCTTCCTTTATGTAGGAAGGATCGGCGCCGATAGGCGCCGATAAGCGCCGATCGGCTTTCGGCTTTCTTTCTGTATACGGCCTAAGGGTGCGGCCAGAGTGCACTCAGATTCAGAGTCAGATTCAGATTCTGAAAACAAGCGCGAGAAATAAACAGTGTAGTCTAAGCAGGTTGCCTGCTTTTTCTCGCGCTTTGTTTTCTGAGTCTGAATCTGAATCAGGAGTGCAATCTGGCCGTACCCTTCGACTACACTGTTTATTTCTCGCGCTTGTTTTCGAAATCTGAATCTGAATCTGAATCTGAGTGCACTCTGGCCGCACCCTAAGATTCAATGTCAATAGACTATTTGTTTACTTATGTTTGGCAATAAAGTTTAAATAAAAATAAAATATTAGCAGCGATTTTACTATTCTAAGATAATAAATCAATAATAACTTTTCTTAAAAAAATATTAGAAACGATGTTTTTGTTCTATAGTCACGTGATCGAAAACTATTGTTTACTACTGTTTGAAAATTACGCTCTTTTAGACTCCTTATTATAACAAATGCGACATTTTTATATATGATTTTATTTATTTTTTAAGCATTTAACTGCTAGATGTTTAAATCTAAAGAAAAGTTTACTAGAAAAAAATCCACGCGGACCAGGCAGCGGACGGGACGGATTGTGGGTTACCTACAATGCGAAGAGATGGCGCTGCCTTGCAGCTTAAGGCTAGGAAAATTTCGACGCGGCCAATAGGGCCGTGGTAGCATAATGGTCAGTGCATTCGCCCGGATAGCGAAGGATGCGGGTTCGGGTCCCGTCCGCTGCCTGGTCCGCGTGGATTTTTATATATTTCACTGTGTTAATATTAGTAGCTGACCCATGCAATGTATTTCTTTGACCACAAATTTAATATGGGTTACAAGTCTGTTATATTAAAGTGCTTATACGAATAAGATCAAAGTACTTTGATTAGTTAAGTATAACCAAACATTTATATCTATACTACCCTAGAGTACGAAATGTCATTGTCAAATTTTATATGGAAACTTGAACAGCAACGCCACTATGGACGTAACGAGAACTGAAAATCAGTACACACTTGACAGTGATATTTCGCACTCGCAAACTATTTGAATTCGATATTGGTTCGTGCTAAGGGTACTGAACCCGTTCACTAGCATGATGCATATGTTGTCTTAACCATATTTGAATTGACTTGTACTTAAAACATTCAGTATTTTTGAAATTATGTTATTTATAACATTTCTTTGTGTATATTTTGTTCGATATAAAAACAGGGTTTTGTTATTTGAAGGAAACTAAATATTTTTTTTGTATAAAAATATTGTCCATAGCTTTTAAGTAGATGGATCTGATAGAAAAAATAATAAAATATATTTAGTGCTTAAGGAATTTATTAACACAAAACACAAATTCAATGTGATATAAAATAAAATAAATATATGTATTTTATGGCAATTTTAAATCTGTATAAATATTCTTGTAAATAGATTGTTGATAAAAGCGAAGAAATGAAAAAATATGTGATGTTGCTATGTAAGTATGAAAGTGTATGTGTAAAGAATCCGAGCGATTTTGTATAACTGTAATCAATAAAGCTTTGTTGTATATCTTGAAGATGTTAATGATTTTTCCTTTCTATAAGTTAATAATTATAATCAAAATCATTCATTCAGTTTAGGCTGTTACAAGCACTCATGAATGTCTAGAAGCTACGCCATCAGTTCGTTAATTTACCTTGTACTGAGAAGAACCGGCAAGAAACTCAGCAAGGGCTGTTTTTTTCTCCCTGTTTTATTATTTACAGAGTCGTCAAATTGAAAAATGACTTCAAAGTTGATTCATGAAGTCACCTTTCATTACTTAATGTGAAATATACATTAATTGTTCACCTGCATTTTGATTGATGTGCCATACAGTTTAAATCCAAATAGTGTTATTTATATTAGGTGTAACTACACATTAACATCTTAAATATCAAAGTAGTTAGGGCAGTCTCATCTCCGCTGGCAACACCCGTTCACGAGCATGACGCATGAACCAGCCATCGCTTCGCTCAACCATTTTTTAGGGCACGTAATGATATTATAACACGGTACAGTTAGCAAAATTTCAATTTTCTAATTCACCCCCCTTATTTAAATTTATTTATTGACTTTATTCGTCGTGTTTGCATCACAGGTCACAGACATACATGTACGAAATTTCAACTTGATCGCTCTAGTACATTCCGAGCAAATCGACTGTGATACAGAGAGAGACAGACAACCGATTGATCCTAAAAGGGTTCCGTTTTTGCCAATTGAGGTGCGGAACCCTAAGAAGTCGGCAAATAAGCATATTAGCCCGCCTAATGATAAGCGGTCACCATTGCCTGAAGAGGCTTGCGTTACCAGAATACCCTGACTCTATCCCTTATCCCGTGGAGACCTTTTTTTTTGTAACGCAGGCAAAAACTCTTTTTACAGACGACGGCGCCTTTAGGCACACCGCCGAACGGACCTCACACCTGGCTCCCGCAAACCTTACGAGCCCCCACAGTGGCTGCCCACTGACGACACCGTAACTTTTACGTGCGCTTTACGGCATAATATTCGCTAAAAACCCTGCGAATACCCTCTAAGTTCCTTAGTGCGAAACCGCGGGATTCTTCCGCGTCATCCCGTGGAGACCTGACCTCTTCGACAGAAACACAACACCCCCAAAAGGTACTTCACTGTAATCTTCTGTAAGGTAGATGTTGCTTCCCTAGACGGACGCTCCGATTCAAACAGAAACCCCACTATTGCTTACTTCCCTAAAGATAGAACAAAGGTTAAAGAAGAAGGTAGGTATTGATTTGTCTTGAGTTTGAGAGATCATAAATTACGACCGTCGTTCCATAGTTCTCAAGTCAATGTTGATAATATTTACTTTGATTGTTATAGTAGGGGAGCACAAAAGGGGATTTTTGGATTTACTCGAGCGCGAAAATTTCAACAAACGGCCATGACTTTTGATCGGGTCCAAATCGTCAGTCTTTTGAATAGGAGCTACTGGAGGGTTCACGTAACATTCCTTCTCAATGTCTGACGCGTTCGGTCCTACATAGAGTTCTCAGGTATGGTAGGAGTACATACTTAACTAGGTGCAAGGTTGCTCCCCATATGTTAATCCCCGCTTGGGTTCCCCTACTATTATAAATGACACTCCTTAAAATGAGAATTTTCATGAACGTCAAGATGACAGGTTTTTCAAATATAAAGTGAAAAATTTAATGCAGATTTCTGCTATTTTATACTTCCATAGAAATTCCATAGTTATTAAAGACCCAGCAAATTGTTAATTAATAATCTTAAGCGGGACACTCCTAATTTTAAATCGACTACGTTCGATTTATTACTATACATCTAAAACTGTAATTTCACTACAAAAAAGGTATTAAATATACAGTAGGATACACCTTAACCAATTCTAAGAGATCTAAAGTGTGTTAATGATATTTTTTCTTCAGGCGCATACTACTTTAAATAAAATATCTTTTTTGTATTGATATTTCAGTTTTAGAAGTATAGTTATTAATCGAACGTAGTCGCATTAAAATAAGGGATGATCAGTTTAAGATTACGCTGTGTTTTTCATTAATTATGTAATGGTTCCATCATTTTGATATCAAAATAACTTGACCACTTTCTTAGTTAAATATTTTGAACTTTTTTGAGTCTAGATTTTTTCAATGAATGTAAAAATAGCTGCTGCTAAGTTCTGCTTTAAATCTTAATCAGATTATATTTGAATAACCTGGCTGGGTCCCGTCATCTTGATCTTCATGAATTTTCATATTTCTCGGTATCTAAATCAGCGCCATCTGTGCTCAGTTCTTATAAGCTTTGGTATATTTAAATTTAATAATTTTGATATTTAAAATGAATATTTCTGAAATTAAATTAACATTATTACAAAATACAATAATTTTTAAGCACTGCTGATCCTGCGCTCGCTATTGATTTGAATTTTCGTGCCTTTTTATGAATATTTATGGAACTTGTAATTGCACTATAATATTTTTCATTGGTTTTCAATAAAATACGGATTCTGACTTTTAACATTTAATTAATTTGATTTGTGCTATTAAAAATTTAAATAGTAATAAAAAATCACTTGTTTCTCAATAACGGTAAGTATCTACCTAGGTACTTTGTTTTCATAATCAGCTGTGATAGATATTAGAAAGAAGACAAATGAATACATAAAAAAATCATAAAATAATATATTTCTAATAATCCAAATAACAAATGAGGGATTTATTTCGTAATAAAAAGTAAAGACTCTAATTTAACTTTTTTAACCGCACGCCATAGCCACACGCTCTGTTGTTTTAATTCTTTTAAATGTTTTTAATCAACAAAACTAATTTTGTAGGATGCATACACTATCATATAAAAAATATTATAATGTTTAGAAAGCTATTGTATATAGGTACAGAATATTTAACTATGACAAAGCTAAAAGAAGCATGATAATAGTGCGAAAACTACCGCCATTTCTATCGAAGTGATGTGACGTCACAACCGCCGCGCCTGTTTGTCGGCAAAGTATAAAGGCTGCCGCCACTTTGAACCGCCGCTTTTTCACCAATCGTTGAGGCTGGCGCGTGTGACTGCAGCAAGTGATTGTTTTGATCGAAATTATTCACAATGGAGGATAACGCTATGACGCGCAAGTTGCTGCAATTGATGCAGAAAACTGGATATTCCATAATTCAGCACAACGGACAGAGGAAATTCGGTCCACCACCAGACTGGACTGGCCCGCCGCCGCAAAGAGGCTGCGAAGTTTTCATCGGTAAGCTGCCAAGGGAAATATTCGAAGATGAGCTGGTGCCGATTTTCTCTAAAGTGGGCAAAATCTACGAGCTGCGTCTGATGATGGACTTCTCCGGCTCAAACAGAGGTTACGCTTTCGTGACGTACACTACGAAGGCGGAGGCTTACAAAGCGGTCAAAGAGTTGAACGGCTACGAAATACGAGCCGGCAGGCACATCGGTGTCGTGAAGTCTGTAGATAACTGCCGCCTGTTCGTCGGCGGGCTGCCGAAGACTAAAACCAAGGAGGAGATTAAAGTCGAGTTGTCGAAGCGAGTGAATGGTATAGTGGACGTTATATTGTACACTAATTGCTTCGACCGCCGGATGAATAGAGGGTTTGCGTTCGTGGAGTTCACCTCGCACCGCGCCGCGGCGATGGCGCGTCGCGCACTTGTTCCTGGTTGTGTCAAGATATGGGACCAGGAGCTCATGGTGGACTGGGCCGAACCGGAACCAGACGTTGACGAAGATCAAATGAAGAGGGTAAGTTCCATTTTTAATCCTTTTTATCAGTATGATTGCTGAGCGGAATTCGTAATTCGAATATTTACTTACTTGCGCGAGTCTACGATTATTTGTAGCGAACACTTCTGGTTAACTTTGTATTGGTCAGGTTCAGGTTGCTATCGTAGCTCTTATAATTTCCAAAAGCCAATAATTTTAATTCTCTTGCAGTCCCCCTACTAAATGCGAAGCTTTTCGATATGCCCGCTTAAAACTTTTAATCTTGTGTAAAAAGTTTAAAAACGACCTTGAGCTTTTTTTTGTTATCTAAAAAGCTGCAATGGGAACAGTCTTCACAATTGTTTATGTGTTGCTTTGCTTAAATGTTTTGTCAAGTGTTCATGTTACAAATGTTATGATGGTTTTATTGTGGAGTGCTATTACACTGTTTGATATTAATCCTTCCATATAGCATATTCACCTGACTGTTTACAGATAAGATTTTATTATGAAGTTCCTAGTCCCTTGATTTTACTTTTATCTATTGCAGGTTAAAGTGCTGTATGTAAGGAACTTCTTGATAAGAACAACACCAGAAACCATTCAATCGGTGTTCGAAAATGCAATTAAAAATAAAATTGAGAGAGTAAAAAAAATTTATGACTATGCATTTATACATTTTTATGAGCGTGAACATGCTGAGCTTGCAATGACTAAACTTCAGAATACCGATATTGATGGCAGTATTATTGAAATAAGATGGGCTAAGCCTGTAGATCGTGAATTGTATCGTATTCAGAAGATGAACCATGGCAATGCGAAGTTTAATAATAGCCTTGACTTTAACCAAACTCTGCTGCTTTACAAACAGCACTTGGATAAAAAAGAATATGCTAATTCTCCTAAGGATGATGAAGGGATTGGCTCATCTGCATGTGCTGGCGATTCGACATGCGGATCACCGACTGAATCGAAATCTTCTACTTTTCAGTATTCACCACCCAAAGAAAACTACACTTTGGCTCCTGCTAAGTTGGATTCCATGTGCAAAAGGTAACTACTTTTTTTACCCTAGTAATTACTCTTGGAGGAGCTCGATGGCGCAAGTGGTTAGCGCGTTCGGCTGCGATCGTTGAATTTATAGCAACTTTCGCAGTGGTCGGTCATCGGATGGGTGACCAAAGATTTACTATCTCGAGCTCCTCCGTGCTTCGGAAGGCACGTAAGCCGTTGGTCCCGGCTGCATCTGCAGTCGTTAGCACCCACCAATCCGCACTGGGCTCGCGTGGTGGGTCATGGTCCGATCTCCCTATTCCATCCAAAGGGAAGGCCTGTGCCCCAGCAGTGGGGACATTAATAGGCTGATGATGATGGTGTAGAAGATGATTAATTTGTCTTTTGATGTCATCCCTACATAGGTGTTTCAAAATGTTTTCATTAGCCATTTCTTATTTATGCAAGGTGGTACTGCTACTACTCTACCCCTGATGCTAATTGTATTGAGTCCAGTTGCAGACTGCCTATATAGCAGCAAAATTTAAGAAGCCATATTCAGCTTGCTAAACTATATTGTGGAACTCCTCTTGCCATTTGAAAGCATTTGTTGCTAGGCATGAATAAATTCTGCTTGAAATTGATCGACATGTAAAGCCTTGATTGGTAGAGCATAGCATATTTTCCGCTCGAATGGAGCTCGCATCTGGGGAACTAACTTCCACCTAACAGAAGACCACGGCAAGATAATATAAGCTTTTGTCGGTTGTTTCTGTTGGCGAGTGAGGTTTCAGGGCTGCATGGGGTAGGGGCTGGATTTCGGGTAGGTACTGGCGTGAGTAACATATTTTCTATCGCAGTGCCGTAGGCTATAATGGTTACTTTCTATCGGGCGGGCATTTTGTTCCGGTTCGTTTGAGCCTAAGCACGCCTCTGTAGCTCTACTGGGGTCCAAGTTAGCCTCCGCATGAGCGAGGTACTCTTGGAGCGAAAGGGGTGGGGGGTGTTCATAGATTTGTAGGACTGTTTTCAACAAAACAGATTCTGCTTGGATGTGACAGTAAGGAACTTATTGGTAATGCGAGTTTTCGTTTCGCAGGTACATGTGGGCGCCCCCCGTATACGACTACCAAAAGTACATATCGGCTGACGGAGCGGAGCAGTGGGTCGGGCGCGTGGAGCTGCCGCTGGTGGGGCCGCCGCTGCTGGGTGCGCCGCGCCGCGTGGGGCCGCTGCACACGCGCGCCTGCCACTCTGTGCACCAGGCGCACGTCGAGGCGGCCGAGAACGCCTTGCATTACATCAAAGTACGTATCGACCATAATTCTACTTATTGCGCTCGTCTGGGGAAGCAACGTTACCTCCACCTTGCAGATGGCCAAATTGAAATAAACCTACCTTTTAGTGGTGTAGTAATTCTATCGGTAAGGTTCCATGGGGTAGAAGAGTGGGATCGGGGTATGGCGAGAGTTGTATTGTTTGTATCGCAAGCATATCGGGCGGGCCATAAGCATGTTTGCAATTATCTTGTATATAAAATTCTTATGTCACAATGTTAGTTACCAGATATTCACATTTTGGTGAAAAGTAACCAAATATACTTTAAATTTAAGACGACGCAAATGTTTTGATGATGGAATTTAAACACTGTTTATTTGTATTGAAACGAAAGCCAAAAAATCGGTACCCTTCGAATGCGACCTCGCGAAAATTATAGTTTTCCTAATTGTAAAACTCTTACCAAGATTACTTATAAACTGGTTTTTGTATTCAGATGCTGCGCAGCGAAGTCATCCAGCGCTCTGCGCCGACTGTGCAGCCCGTGTACGGAATGGGCGGGGTCGGTACGCTAGGCGGGGTAGGGATGGGCGTGGTGCCATGCGAGCTGATGCCGATGTATGGGCGCGCGCCGCTGCCCCTGCCGCCCCCCACACTCTGGCGCACCGTCTGAACCACTCCACATCGCAATCCTACTTAACAGCGGCTGTGAAGTTGGCGACAGTAATCCTAGATCTTTTGGCGTGTGGCCAAAATCTAACCTAATTAAAGCATGGTATAAAAAACCTTTTATTTAAATGGAAATGTAATTAAGCCTTCTATATATTTGTAACAAGATTTTACGAACTTGTTTCCAGTTATATTTGGCCAATAGAAATGTAATATTTAGCCAGCCTTATAAGCTCCACAGGATCTTGATCGCACTGTAGATGATATTTGAGATGTCAATACTGAAACCTGCCCATAGTTTCGCTCGTTGCCGACTTCACAAGCGCCATGCATTTTGAATTGCACTACCCACAATGCTAAACTATAACGACCGGATAAAAAGCTTTATATAATCTGTTGTCTGCATTATTTTTCATGGTTTTCAATAAGTTTTCCGAATGCCTTCGGCGGACTCTTGAAAAAACGATTTTTATAGGTTACCTACTATAGGAGAGCGGTATGACTTGTTTTGATTTCAATGAAACTCGTCCTTTATTGTTGAGCCAATAAAAGACTCTTTTCATATTGACGTCTAGTGTAAGGCGAGCTGCTTTTTGCGTAATTGACTATTTACTATTCCTGATGGAATTAAATGGCAATTTTGCAAACTGTCGGCTGGGGTTGTGCGACGATACTTGTTAGAGAGATATATTTACCTTTAGTTTATTTACTTATCTTAGGACTAATTCTTTTGATGTTTTTATTTTCACTTAAAGCCTATTTGGCATTTTTTTTATGTAATCTGCGTACGTTTTTGACTTGCTATTTAGTTGTTTAAACAACGAAGCCTGTTTATGTTATGACCGTTTCCTTAGACGCGCGATCGCAGGGTTTAAAAAAAATCTATATTTTGTTTCGGACTCGACTTCGGTTATTGTTATTGATATATTAATAAAAGTAAAAGCTTCTTATGATTGTATTGAATCTTTGGATTTGTTTAGTTTATTGGCGTTATTTACTTGTGTAAAGCTGCCACACGGTGCTTCCTTGTGCTTATATGAAGGTATATTCAGAGAGAATGCTCCGTTTAGTTGGTAAAGATCTTTTCTTTTGACTAATAAAAAATCATTAAATCTAGTTTGTTTTTATTTGTCGTACCCACCCGTGTCCCGCAGATGCATCTCCATTTCATGGTGTCTATTCTGTCATACTTAATATTGCATTTCATTTAATGCATAGTATTTAAGTGCTTACATAATGGTAAACACTATCTTTTCAGTATATATAAAGTGTGCATCTTTTACGATCAAGTATAATATTTATAACCTCCAAATCTAATATGAGCAATGTCTTTTAGCTTTCTCGGTCATACTTAAATAAAATAAACCGGCCAAGTGTGCATCGGACTCGCGCACCGAGGGTTCCGTACAAACCTGAGTTTTCAAAAATATTTTTTTAATAAAATTTAGTTTTCGCAATTTTTCCTTTACCTGTACTTTAAGACGTTACTTCGTACCAAATTTCAAGATTCTTAGTTCACGGGAAATACCCTGTAGGTTTTGATTCCCGTGAGAGATTCGAAAATTTGCGTCATAAACGGCTGTATCTTTTGATTGCCTTGGAAATTTGTTATAATTTTTTTTAAAGCATGTAGCTGCTTGATGTTTAAGTCTAAAGAAAATATAACTAGAAAAAGACGGGACTCGAACCCGCACCCTTCGCAATCCGGGCGAATGCACTGTGGATAACGCCTAAGGCGCTTAGCAGACGACGGGGCGGGGCGGGCATTTTGTCCGCGAAGCAATAAAGACCGCGTCTGTCCGTCGATGTCTGCGGCTGCCCGCGCCGCGTACACAAAGCACACGACGGGCAGAGGCGGTCAGTTCAGGATAGTCCATACTAAAAGCGCGTGGCGCGGACTGAGCTAGCCGCCCCGCGCCGCCGTCTGCGGTCCTGCATATAAACTGGTTTGTATGATCCACGGCGGGCAGCCGCGGACATGCCGCTCCTCCACTGCCCGCCGGGCACCCAAGGCGCGGTCTTTTTGCCCTCTGTGTGCGTTTGAAGTATAGGATCCACATTGTACTATTATTCGCGGCGAAATTTACCGGCACGCCCCGCCCCGTCGTCTGCAAAGCGCCTAAGGGTTCCGTGTTTTATTTTTGAGGTACGGAACCCTAACAAATCAAGAAGCCCCTTTTCAGATGCAAAAATAATAAGTTTTCACGTTGATTTCTATTGAGGTGACTGGTGACAACTGACATTTTTCCTAAGTCCCATTTGCAACACAGAGTGATGGATGGGATTTTTTGATAGAAAATTCCCTCTCGTCACCGGAGAGGGCAAAGCTGGTGGTGACGAGCGTCTGTAGAAGAAGAAATGCGTCTGAAGATTAAAGTATCTCGAGCAATCTCATTTTATTGCTCTGACCATTCTTTTCGACGTTTATTTGTTACAGTTTTATTTAGGCCCGTATTATAGAAAGATTCTCAGTGATTGATCTAGTCTTGAGCATAGTTAGAAAGGGATGTCGCTATATTTAGCACATAGTGATACCCCTTTCTATCTGTACTCAAGTAAAGACCAACACGTTGTCATTCTGTAATACGGGCCTTAGTCTCTGATTGTTTAAAAATGAAAAGTGCTTCTGAAATGATGATTCCTAATGTCTATAATAATAATAAATGTTTATTCGATTTCTGTTTACAATAAGGCACTTTGCAGACGACGACGGGGCGGGGCGGGCCGGTTAATTTCGCCTCGAATAATAGCACAAAGTGAATCCTATACTTCAAACAAAAAAGACCGCGCCGCAGGTGCCCGGCGGGCAGTGGCGGCGCGGCATGTCCGCGGCTGCCCGCCATGGATCATACAAACCAGTTTATATGCAGTAACGCAGACGGCGGCGCGGGGCGGTCAGCTCAGTCCGCGCCACGCGCTTATTAGTGATGGACTATTCACTAGAATGAACGTCCTAAACTGACCGCCTCTGCCCGTCGTGTGCTTTGTGTACGCGGCGCGGGCAGCCGTAGACATCGACGGGCAGACGCGGTCTTTATTGCTTCGCGGACAAAATGCCCGCCCCGCCCCGTCGTCTGCTCAACGCCTAAATTATTTAATTTTAGAAATAACTAAAGATATATAAAGTCCCCGCGTACTTGTATAAGTACAAATAAAGGATAGTAGTTCAGACCTGATATTTTAACTACATATATGGAGTGCGTACCTAATGTACTTGCCGAAGTACAAATTTTTAATTCCCCATTTACCGGGTAGTTTTTTTACAACGGCAACACAGACACAGTCATTCTCATTCTGTATTGCATGGTCGATTCCGCCCTGTTTGACAGGTAACGTCAACTGACAGTGTCAGTGTCACTTTTTCGCAAGATGGCTACGCGGTCGGGACGACGACCAGCACGAGGTAAGATTATCTGTTTATATCCAATAAATCATTTGATTTTTCTTTTGTTTTATAAATGAATTAGTGTATATAAATTCTGAATATTTTAAAATGAACAAAATAAAAGATGACTGTAATTTTAAGGAGATTTCTGATCGGTCAAAATAATATGTACTTGACGTGGTACGTTAGGAGTTTGTTACATAAATAAGTGTTTATAATTTGTACTTGTGGCGGTACGTTCGGTCTATATTACAAGTTCATCTCCTAGAAAATTAAAATTAAAACTATTTTTGTCGTGTTCAGTTGACAAAAATGTTAAATTATACCATTTATTTTGATCTCTTATACTTGACTGTGATTTCGCTATATAATGTCATATAAGTAGTATGTAAGGAAGATTGTTTGCGAATTACAGCGTTTTCTATTTTATTTAATAAGTAGGTATAGTGATGCCGTTATTCTCTGATTAAGATAAGATAATGGCCTAAATTGTCATTGAGGCTGAGTTTTTAATTGTTTTTTTAATGAAGATTGTTTACGTTGTAATAAAATGATGTTAAGAGGAAAAATATGTTTTGTTTCGATACTAAATATTTTTTTTAACTTCTTTTACATTGTTTTATTACACGGTGTGAAAACCTAATGTACTTACACAAGTACAAAATATTTTCAATAAATTTCTTCTTAAAAAGGTGCTTTACATAATAAACATAGATTTGTTATGACTTTAAAAAGTAAACAAATGTTTGTTAGATTTTACTTTCATCATCATCAGCCCATTAATGTCCCGACTGCTGGGGCACAGGCCTTCCCTATAGATGGAATAGGGAGATTGGGCCATGACCGATCTCGCGGGTCCAGTGCAGATCGGTGGGTACTGACGACTGCAGATGCAGCCGGGACCAACGACTTAACGTGCCTTCCGAAGCATGGAGGAGCTCGAGATAGTAAATTTTGGTCACCCATCCAATGACCGCTGCGAAGATCACAGCCGAACGCGCTAACCACTTGCGCCATCAAGCTTCTCACTTTTTACTCATATCATATTAGATCGTAAGAAATAAAATTACTTAGGGAATGTTCTTGGATTATATATTTATTTTCAAATAAAATCACTTTATTTCATTAGCATAATACAAATCATAGACATCTGTCTCTAATGTCTGTTTTTTTTTAAACTTTATTATGTGGTGTCCAGTCCCTGTAGCATGAACACTGCATTATACATTTTATCACGTTTTTATCGTGTCTAACTGTCAAACTCCAAAATAATTTGACAATTGAGCGTGATAAAACGTGCTATCACACTAATATTATAAAGGCGAAAGTTTGTGAGTATGTGAGTGTGTATGTTTGTTACTTCTTCACGTCTAAACGGCTGGAGCGTTTTCAATAAATTTGGTATGGAGTTAGCTGACACCCTGGATTAACACATAGGCTACGTTTTAATGCGGGAAATTATCCTTAATAAACTGCGGGTAACACCGCGGCGCACAGCTAGTAGGTATATATATCAAATCGCGGTGCTCATAATAGGGTGATTGCATGTTTTGTACATTTACTGTTGCATTTTTTTTAAAACTATAAATGACAAAATAGTACAAATAAGTAGATTCGTCAGATTTATCATCGTTTGAAGAATGCGTAAAACACAACACGTAACCTACACAGAACCAATCTTTAAACCTAAACTATGATCCTTTCCGCAAAACCATAACTGGGTTTTATGTTATGGGGTTTAAGTTAAATATTCATAGATATATTTCATATTCTGCAAACTCCTCAGTTGTTAGCAGAAATTTAGCAACTTCCTTATAATTTAGATTGTCTAGAACGGTGATGAACCTTCTAAGCTTGGCAGCGAACATGTTCAATGCTTGACGGTGTATGCCACCTATTAGATTTTCGTTCTCGTTCCAGAAGTATGGAATGCTGCCTTTAACCATCGCCTCGTGGAATCTTTGTACAAATAACTTGAAAATCTCTGCTGGACTTCTTTGCCAATACCAAGGATCATTGTCTTGGATACTTACTATCTCCCAAAATGCTAGAGTCTTTATGTAGTAACTGGCAATAGGATCCATGTTTTGTGCGTCGCGGAATTTCTTCACCTAGAATTATTTAAAATAACATTAGTACATTAATGTGAGAAGAGTTGAACGGTAAATGGGATCTTGCGTGCTTTTTGTAGTGTCCGTTATAAGCAGTGCTATTAAAGCAGGATCCAATGTGGATCGATATAAATCTGCGTTTAATCCGCGCGATCCGTCAAAATTTTACAGAATAGCACTGAAGGTTGCGGAAATTTAAATTATTTACACCAATGTTGGACAACCTTTGGACATGGGTGTAGGACCCGACTTCAGGGAATATAGGGCAGTGCAAGCGGAGCTCTGTTACAGATAAAAATAAACACAAAATTTTGTTGTGACACCAAAACCAGGGTGAGAGGGTGCAAATCGTAGCCTCAGGGCCCCGACACTTCTAAAACTGGCCTTGCATTGACGTATTTAGTTTATGTGAAATTAACAGCGTGAATATAGGGTGCCGTTCAAGTATTACGTAAGCACTATAGGGGGGCAAGGGGATCTTTGCTTTGCTTATTTTGAATGACATGGGGGGGGGGGGGTGAGGGGTCGAGATAGTGATTACGTCAGCATCATGGATTCGGGTGTCATGGACTGAAGACTGTATACATATACCAAAAATTCGAAAGAAGTTTGTTTTGTTCGTAATAGTACCTTACTCTATGTTGAATACTGTGTCAATAAAGTTTCTTTAAATGAATAATAAGTGTAAGTCCTCTATCCTAAGCCTATTTAAGTACTGCTGCTCATGAAGCTCATGAAAGCTCAAGAATCAATAAAAAAAAATGGATGCGTGTAACTTATGTACGCGCGTGAGAAGTTATACTTCTTTAGCATCATTAAAAATATTTTTTAATTGCATGCAAATAATTAATAATTACAATAAAATAATAAAAAGTCTGGAAAAGGACTCGGTCAATAAAGTTCAGTTTTAATTTGAAAAAATAAATAATCAAAATATTCAATTAAAATCGCTACTGAATATAATTTATTAGAACATATGTGATTTGCACTTGTATGAAACTCAAACACGTATTCCGAATATACAAACTAGAAACATGTGGATAAATATTATAAATATGAATACCTATAAATGTTACTTTATTACAAAAAATAAAGATGTAGTTTTTGGTTCTACTACACCAATAGTGAAGAGATGGCGCTGTAGTCTCCTGAATCGCGCTTTGGTTCCGTTGTTCCAGATTAATAAATACTTTTGATAGGCCTTCACAATGCAGTCGTTAGCACCCACTAAATAGAGATTCTATTTCTATTTTGTTGGTAGATTTTCTTAATGTGCGGTAAACACCGCACCAACTTCATGCTGTTAATTTTTTGTGTTACAGTGATGCGCGCGCATCTTAAAATTTCACTCTCATAATTTTTTCATAACGCGCCTAAAGAAGTATAACTTCAAAAAAAACAATACATTAAAGGAAAAAATGCATATAGGTATCAATGTTTACGTAAGCACGTGAGGGGGGGAATAAGCTTTGCTTACTTTTGCTGACAAGGGGGAGGAGGGGGTAAATAATTGTAATAAATCTGTTTACGTAATACTTGAACTGCCCCTAGTACTCGATTTAGGAATCGAATACAATACGTTAGGTCTCGAAACCTGTGTTCGAGTATTGTGGATCCGAATTTAATATTTTATATACTCGAGTACGCGAGTACCTGCTAGGTATACAGAAATAATATTCAGTTAAGTCTCACAAAATTTTCACGCGTGGATCCTTACATTTTATGAGTCTTTGCAATAGCATCGCAGGCCTTCCCTATAGATGAATGAGGAGATACTCATAATTATGGTTGTGAATTACATATTATGCATTGAGCATTCTCTATTCCCAACCCCATATTCTCCGAATAGTTACCATTACTTTGAAAAAAAAAACAATTCTTACAAAAACTAGGTACTTTTACAAAAGCCGGTAACTACCTACTTAATCGAGTCTACCGAGTAGACTTCTTTTCTAGAGTGTTTTACAGTGCGTTTGTAAGTTTATATCACCAAAGTCAGGGATCAGGTTAGGTGGAGTGGCACTCACACTTAACCTCGAGTGGAATAGAATACCTAAGTTTCATTTTCATATTACATGTATGAATAGAGATACCAACCAGTTTTAAAGCTTGACGCAAGTGATTTGTGTTGTTCAGCAATTCACTCTCTTGATTATACATCGCTATCCGCCAAGATCTTGTTTGAGGCGCTTCATATTTATTGACTTCTCTTGTTCGGCTTGGGCACTACCATCCAGTAAGCCTTTCTACAGTTATACGGGATGTCACGATAATCTGGCCCCGGAGGCCATCGTTCCTCCGGGAACTTTAACGCCGGCACAAGGTCTACGTCCATTTTGAATTTTCTCAATCTGTTGAATATGTGGAGCGTAACTGCCGGTCCCGACTCGGACCTTCCGATCGAATATTCGACGCCATCAACTTCATAAACAGTATACCCATTCTCATTTTTCTCGAATTGGTTCAGCGCTTTCACCACGACTCCTTTAAACCAGTCAGTAAATTTCGAGCGCAACAAATATCCATAGTCATCGCTCCATTTGTATGCCGTTTTGTTTATATCCCAGTTGCTGCCGCCGTCCCTCATGGGCAACTTATCGTATTGGACACCCATTTTAAGGTAAACGAAACCGGCATCTTTAGGTTCTATAATGAAGTCGCTATCGTTGACGTTGTAAGGGTTCTGTTTGATGCTGAGCGGCAGTTTGATCACAATGTCCATGTCGAATTCGTCTGGTTTTTTAATACGTAATTTGTCAGAGTGACTACCTGTAATTTGCACCTGTAGAAAATATACATTATTAAATTTATTACCAAAACCGAGCCAAACGCTATAGGTAGGTACTTTGTTCACAGAAAATATAAAATTAGTGAAAGCGCTTTCTTTATTCTAACCGCTTGGTCACAGCCAAGCCAAGTCACAGCTACCACAAAAGGCACGGATTTAAAACTGCGTCACACGAGAAAAGGAGCTGACATTAACTGGAGTAAGTACAACACAGTCAAGCCCCAGGGGCAGTTAAAAATTAAACGTATATGAGTACGAACATTATAATTATTATGAACATGCAAACTCGCTATTTTAGACTCGGCTAGTATCTGTGAATAAAAAAAGTATTGGTAATTACATTCAAAGAAGTACCTAGGTTGGTGCTAGTAACTGTAACATTGAAAATAAAAAAAAAAGATATTTTGCTAAGAACAGAAGAAGAACGATTGAGGACGGAGATTGTGAAAGGAAGCAGAAATAGAAAAGGAAAGGAAGAGTAGCTAGGTAAAATATTAATTTATTTGTGTGTCATGTCTATCTACATTCTGCAGTGCTATTCAGTAGACACAAAATTGACACAATTTGTGTCTTTACTGAATATCACTGCAGAACGCGTGTACGCGAATAGCACTACTGCAGTACTAATTTTGTGTCTTTACGGAATAGCATTTGTCTGCTGGTCGGGTGTAATTACTTTTTGTGTTGAAAGAAAAAAACTTAATTGGCTTATACAAACTATAGGTTTTTAATATCGTTAGTTTATATATTTCCACACAACTTATATACTTTTTATAACAGAAAAGGATAACTAGGACCCGCCCTGCCTCTGCATAACGAGGCGCTGATATTAATCTCTGTATATACATATAGGAGTTATCTTCAGGCAGAGGCGGCCTTACCGATTGCGAGGCTCCGGGCGGCAGATCTTTGCGTGGCCCTTTGTCCTTCGTGAAAAGTATGTGATGCGAAAGTAGGTCTGGTTGTTTGGTTTAGGTATTTGTCATGTTTAAGGAAAAATGCTTAAATTGTACAAATAAATCAAATTTGAATTTTAAAATATTTTACATTGAAAGATTCACAAAATTAACAAATACAGAGATGATAAATTTTAAAATTGATGTTTGCGGCTTTTCCTAAGACTAAAATCTTTAATTAAAGCACAATAATCTAACGAATAAGCTACGTCATTTTCGATTGAAAGAATAGCGAGGGCTGAAAGCCGATCTTGTGTCATTGAAAAAATAGTATTTTTTTTTATATTTTTAAAATTTGCTTGGGTTGTTGCGCGAGGCCCCTGTAGGAGCGAGGCCCCGGGCGATTGCCCTGTTCGCCACCCCCTAAGACCTCCACTGTCTTCAGGTAAATCTGAATATAACGTATAATTCGCGGCACGAAACTCTAGCGCCGACCATTATTGCACAGAAGTAAAAATTAAGATGTGTTTAGGGGGAAACGAGGTGCGCGGGTGGGCGTGCGTTGCGCCGATTGGCTCCCCAGTCGTACCATGCGCAGCTATCCCCTCCGCGTTTTGTTTAGCGCTAGAGTTACGTGCCGCAACCTGTATTATGAGTTCTTTACATTTAAACATCTAGCAGTTAAATGCTTAAAGTAAATTATATGTACTATGATATTACAAAATATCCTGAAACTCACCGTGCTTGAATAGCGGTTATAATATTTGTCAACATCCTTCATCTTTTGATGGAGACGATTAAAGATACGATAAAAGACACTGTAATGCAATTGGAAGTCGTCTTTTTTCACCCCTGTGTATCTTACGTATATATCGTTCAGCAGGGAGTTCAGATTGTTAATCCCTTGATTGCCTGGCAGGTCTCCTTGTAACCTGGAATCAGAAAAGAATAACATAATGTAATGATTGATAAATAATTTATCTCTGCTTCTATTAGTCATAAAAAGTACAATGGGCAAAACCCACCCAGCTCCGCTAACAATGTAATTAGTATGAATCGATAGATCTATGAAAAACTAGCCTTTTTTATTATGACACCGTATAAAAAGATCCTGGTAATCAAAAGATATGACATTGTAAAAAATATCCTGGTAGTTAAAAGATATGACACATGGGCATATTAAAGTAGCTAAATAAGTTCATTTTATAGTACCTTCATTTTATATTATTAGTAACCATAATAATATGCCATATCGTACTATACAACCAGATATACGACAAAGCCTGCCGACCATCCTGCGCTTGCACTTACTGAGACATCTCAAAACGGTTTACGGGGGTTGAAGGACTTGCAGTTACAAATACTCGACTTGTCCTACTTCGTTGTGATTGTACGCTCCCTGTCACTAGATTGTTTTTTATCTGACACACTTTGGACATTGGAACACGATTATCGGTTTTGTCAATTAGTATGGATGAACTGAAATCATGTTTTCTCCAAAGCGTGGACAAGTTTGTGTGATTTGTGGTCGCTCCATTTTACATAGATAGAAGACAATTTACTATAACGAACAGAATGTTTTGAAAAAACCCCAACCCATGCGGGGATTTTTGGATTTACTCTACCGCCACAGAATAACATAAGGGGGCACCCTTGCACCTTGTAAAGTACTCCCATAATACCTGAACCCCCTATGTAGGGTCGAACTAAGTAACTAAATTAATTCCCTTGTTTTATTAATGTTCGTTCGTTATAGTACTTGTACCTATTTAACCTAAAATAACTAAAGTCCCCCAGGATGGAATTTGATGCGCTTTGGCACAGATGATCATGACTATAATACCTTTGAAACAAATGTAGTTTAAGCCGTGACAGACGTGGGTGGGAACCCAAGCCAACCTCACCTTCACGTGGTGCACCCTGTCGACCAACAGACGAGGCTCTGGCAAACCGACCGATGGTGGTATAACCATCCCATGACGTAGGGGAGGGAAATCTCACTGGTGACGGGCAGCAGTGTCATCAGTGAATTAAACTACGTTCTGCGATCGCCAACCCACCTACCCAGCGTGGCGATTACGGGCATTACCTCCAATGAACACAGATCACAAGTCACGGCCCCCGTTCCCGGCAGCCCCGCTATTCCTGGTTAGGGTGGCGACCACGGTAACGGCGGGGCGGGGGGTGCTAAGAATCTCCGGGCTACGGGAGTCCACCACAATAGACTGACCCTGGCGACGTACAACGGACGCACGCTACGGCTTGACTCGCATTTGGCGCAACTCGAGGTGGAACTTGGGAAGATTAGGTGGCACTATGACTAAAAATGAGATCGATTTCATCATGACGGACAAGAGGTATATATTCAGAGACGTCTCCGTGATCAATACGTTCAATACCAGTAGTGATCACCGGCTCGTCCGGGGCTCTCTGAATATTAACTTTAAGGCCGAGCGCGTCCATTTGATGAAATCAAGGCTCCGACCTACTCTGCTCCAATCTGCAACAGTATCTGAAACGTTCCAGTCAAATCTGGAGAACCGATTTGCTGCCGTGGAAACCACATCAGACGTAAAGAAAAACCTCGAAAATGTGGTTCGCATCCTCAGGGAAGAGAGTACGAGATTATGTGCAACGCAGCGTAAGGGCAGGAAGTCAAAGCTTTCGGAAGAGACTTTAGGATTAATGAAGGAACGACGTGAAAATCCACCCGTCACTTCGTCGTCAAATCGGACTCTAAACCAAGAGATCAGTAAGCACATACGACACGACCCCCGGTGCTACAATACTCTCTCGAGCAGAATCGAAATTCCATAGTGTTCGTACAATCTCTTGGAAGGAGCCATCTGACGAAGCTGACCACAACAAGTGGGGAAGTTAATGCTTCAAAGCCGGCAGTCCTTTCGGAAGTGGAAAACTTCTACGGCCAGTTGTACGCATCACATGCATCTCGACCCGGTCCCGGAAATGAGGATTCTAGAACCACATAAACACGCCACTTCACCGGAGACCTGCCAGAAGTCGGTATTGGCGAAATCGAGATTGCTCTTGGGCAGCTCAGAAATGGAAAAGCCCCTGGAGAGCATAGTGTTACAACAGAACTCTTGAAAGCTGGAGGTAAACCCGTACTGAGGGAGCTCCAAAAGCTTTTTAACATTGTCGTTTTCGAAGGGAGAACTCCGGAGGTGTGGAGTAGGAGTGTGGTCGTCTTGTTCTTTAAAAAGGGGGACAAGACCCTACTTAAGAACTATCGACCCATATCCCTTCTAAGCCACGTCTATAAGCTGTTCTCAAGAGTAATCGCGAACCGGCTTGCGCGAAGACTTGATGACTTCCAACCACCGGAACAGGCTGGGTTTCGGAGCGGATACGGCACCATAGACTACACCCACACAGTACGGCAGATTATACAGAAGACTGAGGAGTACAATCAGCCCCTGTGCCTAGCATTTATGGACTATGAGAAGGCCTTTGACTCGATTGAAATCTGGTCTGTCCTGGAGTTCCTGCAGCGTTGCCAAGTCGACTGGCGATACATCCAAGTGATAAGATGTCTCTACGAAGCCGCCACCATGTCGGTCCAAGTATAGAATCAGCAAGTCCCATACCGTTGCATCGTGGAGTGAGACAAGGAGACGTTATTTTCCCGAAATTGTTCACTAATGCAATGTAGGATATGTTCAAGACGCTGAACTGGAAAGGACATGGCATCAACATCAATGGCGAACGCATCTCTCACTTGCGATTTGCGACTACATCGTCATCATGGCAGAAACCCTGCAGGACCTACAAAAAATGCTGAATGATCTGGCTGAGTCTTTTATACGCATCGGCCTACGGATGAACTTGGATAAAACCAAGGTCATGTTCAATAAACATGTTCTACCGGAACCGATTGCAATACACGGTGCCGCTCTCGAAGTTTTTCAAAAATATGTATACCTCGGGCAGACATTGCAGTTAGGTAGAAACAACTTTGAGGACGAGGTGAATAGAAGAATTCAGCTAGGTTGGGCAGCATTTGGGAAGCTACGTCAAGTCCTGACATCGTCTCAAAATCTTCAATCAGTGCGTCCTACCTGTGATGACATACGGAGCCGAGACGTGGACACTGACGGTACGGCTGATCCACAAGTTCAAAGTTGCTCAGCGCGCTATGGAAAGGGCTATGCTCGGCGTTTTTCTGAAGGATCGCATCAGAAATAAGGTAATCCGACAGAGAACAAGAGTCATCGACATAGCCCACCGGATTAGCAAGTTGAAGTGGCAGTGGGCTGGCCATATTTGCCGAAGAACCGATTACTGTTGGGGTAGACGAGTTCTGGAGTGGAGACCGTGTCTCGGCAAACGTGGTGTAGGACGTCCTCAGGCACGATGGAGTGATGATTTGCGCAAGGTGGCTGGCAGGAGCTGGATGCGAGTAGCCCAAGATCGATCTGAGTGGCGTGCAATTGGAGAGGCCTATGTCCAGCAGTGGACTAGGATAGGCTGTTGATGATGATGATTGATGGACGTGAGTGAACATTTTTGCACAATGTCCTTTAAACCTTTTAATCAAACATTTAAACAAACATTTAAACTACACACATCAAAAGTGTCTAGGGATCAAGCATTTTTATGCGGATTTCTTGAGATTGAGATGTGGCTTTGTAATAAATTTATGATTTTATAAATTTATATGGATCCTTTTTGGTGCATTTCATAATTTGAATCAGGAACTGTGAATCAAATTCGAGTAAAAGTTGAAAATCAGCTGTCAATATTTTCCCTATAAAAACATACAACGCATTGAAGACATTATTAGTGCTACTGTTTCCCTACTACTGATTAAAACCAACGTTATTATGGAGCGGCGACATCATTTAAGCAGGGAAGAAATGCTCAGAGCCGTGGGAATGATAGAAGCTGGTTCCCGGCAACGTACTGTGGCTTTAGCTCTGAATACAAGTCAGAGTGTTATCAGTCGACTTTGGACACGATACCGAAGCACTGGTACCGTGGCTGAGCGCCATGGAGGACGGTATCGCTGCACCACACGGAGACAAGACCGATACATTCAAATCTTAACTCGAAGAGCTCCAACAATAACCGCCATGATGTTTGCCGTGAGGCTTCATCACTCTTCAGGGAACTTAATTAGCGACCAAACAGTCAGAAACCGCTTGCATGAAGTGAACCTTCATTCCCGAAGACCGCTACGGGTACCACCTATAGCAATGCACAATCGTAGGATTCGATATCAATGGGCTCTTGAACACAGAAATTGGGCAGAAGAACAATGGCGTTTCGTGTGCTTTTCTGATGAGTCTCGTTTTGGTATGAGACCGGATACAAGACGTATACGACACTGGAGAACCCCTGGACGCCAACAGCGATTAAAATCCTGCCAGGAAGTCCATCCTTATAGTGGTGGAACCATCATGGTATGGGCGGGTATTTGGATCGGCGGAAGAACTGAGTTGATTTGGATCAGAGGCAACCTCAACGCTCAAATTTATGCTGAGACGATTGTATCAGACGTCATCGTTCCTCTACAAGTGCAAATCGGTCCCTTATTTCAGTTAATGCATGATAATGCACGACCGCACACCGCAAGAGTTGTAAGACAGACTCTCGCCGCAGCTAACATCAATGTCCTGTCCTGGCCTGCTCAGTCGCCAGACTTGAACCCGATTGAGCATGCATGGGATATGCTACAGAGAAGAGCTCTGCCGAATATGGAGGGTATCCAGTCGCAAGAAGACTTTTTTGTTGTTGCAACGAACATGGGCGGCCATTCCACAGCGTGATTTGGATGAACTCATTTTGAGTATGCCAAACCGATGTTCTTGTGTTGTTAGTGTTCGCGGTAGAAATACGGATTATTAATTGTTTAAGTTACCCAATAAAATTTTAGAGAAAACTGTTATTTCAGTCTTTTTTTCGAACTTTTGTGTTAGTGGTTCAAATGTCAAAAATCCCTTTATTAGGAAAATGGCAAATTTCTTTATTAATGCAAAGGTGACTTGGTTTATCGTTACTGTGACAAACGAAAACACTTTATTTGATGAATCCTTAAAGAAAATTTTAATTAATATCAATCAGGAGAAAAGTTATTGCAAAAATATATGTTGATCCCTAGACACTTTTGATGTGTGTATATAGGTATTTGAAATCTGTTTTAGTGAAGTTATTTTTAAATATCTTGTAATCTATTTGAATAATAATCGCGCGTCACACACAGGTTTTGTTATCGTTATCGGAATTTGCCAAATATCGTTGAAACCAATTTTGATGTTTTTGAGAGACTGCCTAAAAAAAGAGTTTAATAAGTTGGTGTAATCAATGTTCATGTATGAGTAAAACTGTACTTCTTGGACCACCTCCCTGGCGAAACCCGGGCTAACTCACAACAAGATGATGCTGTGTGTATGGTAGGATTGTAAAGGATTATTCATTATGAGCTGTTACCGCCAGGTAGAACAATTAATTCTGAACTCTACTGCGAACAACTGATGAGATTAAAGCAAGAAGTTGAGAGAAAGCACCTGGAATTAATCAACAGAAGGGGTGGTTTTTTTATCATGATAACGCTAGACCTCGCACATCTTTAGCTATCAATACAAATAAGGGGAGTTTGACTGGGAGGTGTTAATGCATCGGCCGTATAGTCCTGATCTTGCACGTACAGATTTCCACCTGTTTCGGTCTCTTCAGAATTCTTTAGGCAGCGTCAGGTTAACAGTGCTCCATGGGTTAACACCACGAAAGGACTGCCAAAATCACTTATTAGAATCTTCTCAATTTGTTAGAATTAGGAAGTAATATTGGCCGGAAGAAGATGGTAGTAGCGGTTTTGGTTGTCAACACCACTTGTCGCGGTTTTTTGATCAGAAACCCCAAAATTTCGTTCATAACATGATTTCGCGAGACTCAAACTAGGTAAGTATCTCTATTTAAAATGTGACAGACAGTACCACTTTCGCATTTATAATATTAGTTTCGATAATACCATTAGATGTAAATAGCCACTTACTGTAGCCCACTTTCGTAACGAATCATAGGGACCTGCTGCTGATGTTGACTAAAATCAATTGCCTCAAGGCGCCGCCGCTGATCTGGCTGTTGCTCAAGCACAGTTTCTCTGTTCCTAGTAGCAATATAGTACAATGCGCCCGCAGCGGCCGCTACACCGACACCGATACCACCCCACAAACCCCAGTTTGTACTCGACTCCTCTTCCTCGCGGCTGTTTCTCCGATTCCGTTCCATATTTCGAATCGATACAAAGAAATTAAAAAAATACTCGTTCACTCGCTGGCAAGTAGATCACTACTCGATTGTGATATTAGACAAGTCAATTTGTCACCAAAGATAAATAGGTACTACAAACAAAGAAATGTGCGATAAGGCGAAACACGGATTCACATATGTTACGAAGGAAATCACCGACCACTTTTATATTGAGATTACGGGTACATGCAACGACACAATCATTTGGTGTACTTTTAATAGAAAAGTATCCTTTATTTCTGTAAGACGTAGAATTGACTTTGCATTCATACTATGAATTTTCGTATGTGCACATTTTAATATTTTTAATAGAGGCAACACCAAAGTTTGTAAATTAGGAATCCCCGTTCGGTCGAGTGTTCGAGTCGACACACAACATATATAAGGCTTTTCGAGAACGATTGAACGCAATAACAGATGCATTTTAATATTAGTCCGAATTACTTTTTATCGACCGAACGTTTGTTCGCAAACGGATCCCTGACATTGTTATTGGTCCCGAAGACGATCTAGTCGTCTTGTCAAGTATACGTGATTTAAGCGAATATTGATCATTTACCGCGTTGACATGACTCTACCGTGAAGCGTACTATGGGCTTGATCACAATCTATCTATAGTAATATAATATTAATACAGTAGAACCCGCTTAATACGATTTCTCGCATAATACGCCATTTTGCGTCAGTCCCTGCAACTTGAGACATGTTTTCATACATTTCTTAACGCTTAATACGATTCGATTCGTCATCCCGTTTAATACACCTAAATCGCCAACACGTACCACACATATTACCTCTTAATAACACACAGTGCCGTCTTTGACCTATTGGAGGCCCTAGGCATATTAGGATATTAGGGCCCCTATGACCCCCGTTTGGTGATCTAACAAGAACTAGGGACTTTGTATTTGTGATCTGAGCCCTGTGCCCACTGGGAAAGACGGGTCTGATGACACGCAAGAAGAGGCCCTAGGTGATCATGCTGCCGCTATAGAACTTCTTTGAATCAAAGCGAAGACGCGCTGCAAAATTTAAATGATGTTGTAAATCTTGTAATTGCTAATGCCTCAAAATCTTTTTGTCAAACTTAAATAAGTGAATATTTTAAAAAGCGTAATAATAAAAAACATTTTTTTTTATAACTTACATAATTCCTAAATATTGTATATTCATTTTATACCTCACTACTTACATTCGAAATAATAATAGAATATTATAATAAATATTAATATGTGGTACGTTTTTTCCCCTATCCCGCATAATACGCTTTCCCGCTTAAGACGCGTTTTTGGTTGAGTCCCTGTGAAATCGTTTTAACCCCTTATTGCATGAATTATAAAACGGATGAAATAAAACAAAAATTTTAGCGATTGTATCTTTTATTAGTCTTAATTAAGAAATTAATAATAATAAAAAAATGGGTGCGTGTACTTATGTAGGCGCGTGAGAAGTTATCCTTCTTTGGCATCGTTTAAAATTAGTTTTTAATTGCATGCAAATAAATAATTACAATAAATTAATAAAAAGTCTGGAAAAGGACGAAGTCAATAAAGTTCAGTTTTAATTTGAAAAAATAAATAAATAATCAAAATATTCAATTAAAATCGCTACTGAATATAATTTATTAGAACATATGTGATTTGCACTTGTATGAAACTCAAACACGTTCCGAATATACAAACTAGAAACATGTGGATAAATATTATAAATATGAATACCTATAACTGTTACTTTATTACAAAAAATAAAGATGTGGTTTTTGGTTCTACTACACCAATGGTCAAGAGATGGCGCTGTAGTCTCCTGAATCGCGCTTTGGTTCCGTTGTTCCAGATTAATAAATACTTTTTGTTACTTTATTATAAAAAATAAAGATGTGGTTTTTGGTTCTACTACACCAATGGTCAAGAGATGGCGCTGTAGTCTCCTGAATCGCGCTTTGGTTCCGTTGTTCCAGATTAATAAATACTTTTGATAGGCTTTCACAATGCAGTCGTTAGCACCCACTAAATAGAGATTCTATTTCTATTTTGTTGGTAGATTTTCTTAATGTGCGGTAAACACAAAAGTAACGGTCGCTAAAGCGACCAACTTCATTATGTTAAAATTTTGTGTTACAGTGATGCGCGCGCATCTTAAAATTTCACTCTCATCAATTTTTCATAACGCGCCTAAAGAAGTATAACTTCAAAAAAATTTTTTTTACTTATTTTGGAATTTAGCCCACAAAGCCATATATGGATTCGTATGCAGTCTAGTGAAATAATAGATATCCATATATGGCTTCGTATGCATTAGGAACATTATAGAAACTTATATCTTATGAAAATATTTAAAACAGTTACGTTTATCATTGTAACACAAATAAACTCTACACTTTCCACACATAGTGAATGATCGATATTTTGAACATCCCTGACATAATTGTCGATTTTGTTTCCATTCGGGAAAGTGGTCAAAATTGTCAGATGAAAGCTCATCGTCACTCATAAAGCCATCGCCAGGAATAGGGTTAACATGCTTGGAAGTACCATAAAAGCGAGAAGGATTCATTACTGCAAAGAAAGAAAAAAGGTAAATGAAAACACACAAAGCCATATATGAGCGTTAGAAATGTTAACGTGAATGCATACGAAGCCAAAAAAGGCAATTTCAAAAAAGGATCCATAAGTCAAGTAAAACAAAATAAAATACCAAAAAAGCACCTGTTTCATGTTATAGCACATATATATATATCACAATATAAAATTCTAGGATTTTTAACTTACCGATTTATTACTTTCTTTTCACAAATAAAATTAACATTACATTTCTGCATCCGAACGGTGGGCCGCGCTGCACATAACTTCAAATATTTTAACAAATGTCACCAACCATAGACCAATAAAAAATACGTTCCTTTACACGAAAATATTTATAAGATATTTATAACAATTGTTTTGAAATAAAAATAAAATAGAATTCAAAAAAAAATTGCCAAAGTTTTAGAGCCACCAATGGCTTCGTATGCGGTAAGGGGTTAAACGGGGTTTTCTGTTGTATTTTAAAGAGGAAAGAATTGAATGTAAGTATGTTTGTAACGAATTGGCTCAAAAAGTAATGGACCGATTTGAAAAAATCTTTCACGACTTTGATGTCTACATTATCACTGATTAATATAAACTATAGTCTATTTTCAAAAAAGTTAGGGTTCCGTATGAAAACTTCAATAATGTGTGTAAAAAATACCAAAAATACAAGCCTTTGAACAAAAACTATAGTTTACACTCTATCAGGGCCGCGGTAGCATAACTGGTCAGTGCATTTGCCCTGATAGCGAAGGTTGCGGGTTCGGGTTCGAGTCCCTGCCTGGTCTGCGTGGAATCTTTTTCTAGTTATATTTTCTTTAGATTTGAACATGAAGTAGTTACACGCTTAAAAAAAAATAACTATAGTCTACACTCCAGCTCTACACCGAAGCAAAGCGAGGGCGGGCCACTAGTTGACAATAATTTTGATTGACGGTGACTTGATGGAAATTGATTGACAAGTTTTTCTCATTTGAGGCCGCAACATTGAAGAATGACGATCTAAACGTGACAGTGGCGAAAAGCGCCGACATTATTACCGAGCGTGATTTGTTCTATTATTAATATCATAATATAATAATAATAAAGGAACTCCTGTTAAAAGAAAGTAGTAGGTATGCAGACAAAAACAAAAGGGCGATTGCATTAACAATCATAAATACCGCTACAGCAATATATTTGTTGGAAATGAACCCAATTACTAAGTTTCCGCTGTCCGTCGGTCTGTCCGACACTAGGTTGTATCTCGTGAACTAAATAAATATTTAAGAGGGGCTCCCATACAACAAAATTATTTTTTTGCCATTTTAGTGTGCTGTAGTCCTGACAAGGAACCCTTATAGTTTGGTCATGTCCGTCCCTAGTTTTGCTAGGACTAGGAGACTGTAAGCACTAGAGCTGTAATTTTGTGAAATTATGTATATCAATGAAGCCGACAAAATGGTAGAGTAAAATTTAGAAAAAAAAAATTTTAGGGTAACATGTAACACCTAGTTAATATACATAATAAAGAAATATTTTTTGAAGTTATACTTCTTTAGGCGCGTTATGAAAAAATGATGAGAGTGAAATTTTAAGATGCGCGCGCATCTTTGTAACACAAAATTTTAACACCATGAAGTTGGTCGCTTTAGCTTTAGCGACCAACTTCATGCGTTACTTTTGTGTTTACCGCACATTAAGAAAATCTACCAACAAAATAGAAATAGAATCTCTATTTAGTGGGTGCTAACTACTGCATTTTGAAGGCCTATCAAAAGTATTTATTAATCTGGAACAACGGAACCAAAGCGCGATTCATGAGACTACAGCGCCATCTCTTGACCATTGGTGTAGTAGAACCAAAAACCACATCTTTATTTTTTGTAATAAAGTAACAGTTATAGGTATATTTATAATATTTATCCACATGTTTCTAGTTTGTATATTCGGAATACGTGTTTGAGTTTCATACAAGTGCAAATCACATATGTTCTAATAAATTATATTCAGTAGCGATTTTAATTGAATATTTTGATTATTTATTTATTTTTTCAAATTAAAACTGAACTTTATTGACTGTGTCCTTTTCCAGACTTTTTATTAATTTATTGTAATTAATTATTTGCATGCAATTAAAAACTAATTTTAAACGATGCCAAAGAAGGATAACTTCTCACGCGCCTACATAAGTACACGCACCCATTTTTTTACTAGTATTTATAGTTAAGCAAGCACCCTTCAATCGCCCTGTCGCCATGTATTTTTTAAGGCAAATTTGAGTCAAATTGTTATTTTTTACTTTCTGTATGCAAAAAAATATTAAAAACAATATTTATGAATTACTACCTACTTAAAAACTAGAAGGGAAGGGGAAGGCTCTTCGGTTTTTTTAATTTTCTTTTAATATACCTATTCTTTTTTTTAATCATTCAAGAGCAGCAGTTATAATTCTAGAAAATGGATTTACACATAATATTCATTTAAACTGAAACTTTATTCCCCTACTCGGTTACCCTAAGCAAATAGGTACCTACTATATGTATTCATTATTTGTGGGAATCCCTGAAAATGCGTTTCCATAGACAATGTGTGGGTTGCCATATTATGTGTTAAAAAGTTAATAATATTACTTGTTTGGATGTAAGAATGCGTAGTTTTAGTCTTTGTCATAGGATTTTTTACAAAGTTGATGACAGCTGGTCTTTAGGTACACACATCAAAAAAAGTTTGAGATCACTTTGAGATCACTGATATATTTTCAAAATTTTACTTAATCAAGAGAAAATGTTTACGTTATATCTTTTTTTATTTAAAAATACACTTTCTGAAATTAAAAAATATAACTAATTTTATTTTTAGTATAAAAAATTTAAAAATTCAATCCTAAGCCGATTGTAATAGAACTTTGATTGAAATAAAAAGATAGTTTAACCAAACTTAAAAACCTTTTATAAATAAATTATTGTTTATCTAATACAAAATAACTCCTCCTCTGGCTCGAATACATGCGGAGATCCTCCTGGGCATGCTGAGGATCAAGTTATCCAGCATTTCTTGTGGTAACCTGTCTTATTCTTCAATAGCAGCTTCCCTGAGCTGCGGCACTGTCTGGGGTGGTGGCTGCCGGTTCTATACAGCTCGCTTACGAGCATCCCACTCGTGCTCTATTGGGTTTAAGTCAGAGTAATGTCGACATTTTCCTATCTCTCGCTAGCACACAATTATGATAAATGAAAATGATAATACTTCGGTTCGGGCCAAGTCGAAAGCATACCCCGACCGTAGTGTATATATTCTGTGCCCCTATTGTATAAAAAAAATGAGTCACATTTAATAATACGACACACCGATACAACAAAAACATTTAGCTCCGGTCTGGGAAAAAGCGTATGTATTCGCTTATTTCGCTTCTTCAGAGTTCAGTGTACTGTTGTGCGCAGTAACGTGCCGTCGTGTCGGTCGCGACCGTAAAATAGGATAAAATACGAACTTACGTCATTCAAACTTTAGTGACCCCCATTTACCTATACAAATCAAAATGAGCGTTAACCAAGGAAACAAAAATATAACAAATCTAGATTCCTTACTGACATACATTTATAGGAATTATATACAAATCCAAGAGGGTGACTTCAGGTTGCATTACAGAGTTTTCGATGTGATTTGCCGCCAACTTCGCGAAAAGATGAAAGAAGTTGATCAATTTTACAATTATTATTCCAGTACGGTAAGTTGAATAATTATCTCTTTAGCTAATCTACTTTAAAAAAATCTTTCTGGTGTTCCTTTTATACATATACTAGCTGCCGCCCGCGACTTCGCACGCGTAGAGTTACTCGTAGTCAGAAATAAAGGTTCACTGCTCGTTCCCCGTGATGTGATAGCGTGATAATATGTAGCCTATATGTTGACTAGACTCTTTAATATTATTTCTGCCAAATTTGAAGTAAATCCATGCAGTACTTTTTGAGTTTACCCCGGACATACATACAGACAAACATAAAAATTCTAAAAACTATATTTTTGGCTTTGCTGTAGATTGTAGACGACACCCCGAGTATTCTTTTAAAAAAATATTCAATGTACAGTTTTGACTTTCCTACCATTTTATTATATATGTATAGATTAAGTCAGTTGCCTAACTTCATTATCATCATCATCATCATCAGCCTATTAATGTCCCCACTGCTGGGGCACAGGCCTTTCTTAAGGATGGAATAGGGAGATTGGGCCATGACTCATCACGCAGGCCCGGTGCGGATTGGTGGATGCTAACGACTTCTGATGCAGCCGGGAACAACGGCTTAACGTGCCTTCCGAAGCACGGAGGAGCTCGAGATAATAAATTTTTGGTCACCCATCCAATGACAGACCACTGCGAAAGTTGCTTAACTTCAACGATCGCAGCCGAACGCGCTAACCACTTGCGCCATCGAGCTCCTCCTAACTTACTTGCGATATATTAATTTAAGCAGATAGGTACCCCTACAGAAGATTTTGTCACATTGATAGTAATTAATTTCTTCTTTAACTTTCCAAAATATTTAGAGTACCTATAGATTTATAATTTTTATATTTCTTATTTAATTTTAATATTATTTGGTCAACCTCTATGGGTCAACCGGTTGGTTCAACGGAAGACTTCTGCTCCAAAAGGTTCTAAGTTCGCATCTTGGTAGGGGCAGTTATTTGTGCGATGTGATGAGCAAAATTATGTATTTGATCTTGACTTCTGGAGTCATGGTTGTACATTTATAATAAGTATTGATACTTATATACTAGTCAAAACAAAATAAGGGCCACCGTGTTTTTTCCGTTTGCATGCAATGTATTGGGTTTAAGGGTAAATAAATAATTAAATTGAATTATTTAGCCTACTTTTAATTCAAAAACCTTAAAATTAAATGTATTGGTAAGAAAAGATCAATATGTTGGGGTTATTTGTAAAAAATGCAATTTCAGCAAAAAAATACACTTAGAAAAAACAAAGGGTTAAAACAAACATGTTGAAGGACTTTTGTCTTTTTTGCATTGCTTTAGTATCGTGTGTCCAGTGGCGGCGCTAGGCGTCGGCAACGTCGGCCACCGCCGACGGCCTCGCGCCTGAGGGGGCCTCGCAAAATTTTTTTACAAGTTACCTATTTATTTTCGTTTCTCCTGGCCTGGCTTAGGAAGCCGACCCCGAACAATTCGTGGAGAAAGCTAAGCAGATGATAATGACTTTTATTATTTTCGAACACGTGCGTGATGGAAGCGAGTAGTACTTTCGGGTAATCAGAATCGTCTGTCTGGCAACACTATTTTTGTAAATTTCTATGTTTGTAATTATTTTTTGTCATCATTTGATTATCAACGATAAAACTCGTTTACTCATATGTTATTTTTAATTTGGCTCACTAAATTTCACGGTTTTTTACTGCGAAGTAAAATAGAATCCCACATGTGTTCGATGGGGTTCAGGTCCGGACTGTTGGCAGGGCACGGCAAGACACGTATACCGGCTTCGTGTAGAGCTTCCCTAGTAGCTCTAGCTGTATGAGCGCGGGCATTATCGTGCTTTAAGGTGAATGTTGCACCAGTTCTTTGTGCAAATGGCACCACATGAGGTCTTATTATCTCCTCAATGTAACGCGCAGCCGTTACCGTGCCACCGATGAGTACCTATTGCGAATTCGGTTCGACCTGATAAAGAGATTCCTCCCCATACCATGACATTGGGAACCCCAAATCTGTCACTTTCATGGATACAAACATCCGAAAATCGCTCACTTTCTCATCTCCATAGTCTAATGCGACGATCATCCCTAAAAATGACACTTTACACTTGTCAGTGTACAAAACTGTGCTCAATTCACTTATGTCCCATTGAAGATGCAACCTTGCGAAAAATAATCGGTTTGCACGGTGTAAATTAGTCAATGGAATCCGCACTACGAGTCTTCTAGAAAACTGCTGGTCCTCATGTAACCGATTTCTAATAGTTTGGTCACTCACGCGGGTACCGGTCGCCTGGCGCAGCGATTTTGTAAGTTGCGGGCGGTGACGATTCGCTCTCTTCGCGCAGTCAAACGTATGTAGCGGTCTTCCTGTGAGGTTGTTGATCGATTTCTGCCAGAACCCCGTCTTCTCGTTACACTCCCAGTCTCTTGAAACCGATTCCATGCATTCTGGTTTACTCGCCTTGAAAATCCCATTTCTAAAGCTACAGAACGCTGCGAATGTCCCTCTTGGATCAATGTGATGGCTCTAGTTGCGGTTTGCAGGTCCATATGTCTACGAATCCTCGGCATAGTGCTTTTAAAATGATTATCCACGTTCTAACTAAGCAAATGTAAGACTGTTTTTATAAAGAAAAATGACTTATGAATTCGTCTTAAAATAGGGTAAATTCAAGTGGTTACAAAAAGAGGTAGGTACCAAAGCACCCACTTACAAAAATATGCAAATGGTAACCTCACATTATGATTGTCAACACTTCAGGAAATACCACACAAAAGATATGAACGTTTAAGATTGCTTTAAATTAACGAAAACAGTCCAGATGTTTAAATTTACTTGTGGCCTTTATTTTGTTTTGACTAGTATATGTACAACTTTAAGTTGCCATAGTAAAAGTTCTAGAGAGTTTAGTACCTACAAGTTATGCTTAGTTTGCGATTAGATCACTGTTGCGAATTGTCCAGAAAAACAATGGTTAACAACGTATTTTACACAATATGTACATACATATAATTATATCGTGAGCGATCCACTTATTTAATGAAATATAGCTTTTAGGAATAATGTACCTACGTAGCTTTATAATGGTGAAAGACTTTTTTTAATCGTACCAGTAGTTTTTGAGTTTATTCGGTGCAATCTTACAAATCTAACCTTTTTATAATATGACTAGTGACCTGCCATGGCTTCGCTTCGGTGAAGACTATAGTCTTAATTCTCTATTCTCTAGATATTGCATAAAATCTGCATTAATATCCATTGAGTATTTTAAAAGATCTGAGACACTTTACTGAAACATTTATAAATCAAGGGCTATGGTTTGAATACCTGCGTGCTCTTATACATACCTTAGATTAAATAAAAAAGGGTTTTATACTATTACTACTTCGCTTCGGTGTAGAGCTGAAGTGTAGACTACAGTTTTTGTTCTAAGGCTTGTATTATACACAATGACATTCATCTATGATTCTTCTTATACCTGCATGCAAAGTCTCAGCCCGATCGGTTTAAAATTGACAAAGTTTCATACAAACTTTCATTCCCTATTTTATCCCCTTGGGGGTAGAATTGATCAAAATCCTTTCTTAGCGGATGCCTACATCATAACATCTACCTGCATGCCAAATATCAGCCCGACCCGTCCAGTGGTTTGGGCTGTGCGTTGATAGATCACTATGTCAGTCAGTCAGTCACCTTTGAGTTTTATATACATATATAGATTACTAGTGGCCCGCCCTCGATTCGCTTCGGTGTAGAGCTGTAGTGTAAACTATAGTTTTTGTTCTCAGGCTTGTGTTATAAACAATGACTTTATTTATATAATTACACGTGTTATTGTGAGTCAACCATAAAAGATAGACATATGCTGTTGCCGGATATTTTTTAGACAATTTTATGTAGAATATTTCCGTCATACATGATTTCTATGTAACTTATTAAGGCTGCACTGCTTGGCTACTACACACTAAGGCTGCTTAAAAATGGAGTAACTTCTCCCGTTTTCCCAACATTTCCCTTCACTACTCTGCTGCTATTGATTGTAGCGTGATGAAAAGTATACTATAACCTGCCCAGGAGTATGAAGAATAATTGTACCAAGTTTCGTTAACATCCGTCGAGTAGTTTTTGTTTCTATAAGGAACATACACACAGACAGACAGACAGACAGACAAAAATTTTACTGATTGCATTTTTGGCATCAGTATCGACCACTAATCACCCCCTGATAGTTATTTTGAAAATATATTTCATGTACAGAATTGACCTCTCTACAGATTTATTATAAGTATAGATGATAGAATAAAATTACTTATTTCAATTTAAGCTCACGGACGCTACCTATTGCACACTACAGCCTTAACACCCTTATTAATAAACGGAGACTAAGCTTGGATTAGTTACTCCATGTTTTGTCTGTGTTCATTTAATGACAAATGACATTTGAGTGGTGTGAACAAAACATGAGGTAACTAGTCTAAGCTTATGTCTCGTTTATTAATGTGGAGGTAAAAGTTTAGTACACTTTTTCTCTATTTAGGGTTCCGTATAATAAATAAATTAATAAATATTGCCAACACTCATACCAATTAGCCTAGCCCCAAATTAGGGCTGCCATCTCCAAGATGTGGCAACCAGGACAAGACGCGTGATTTTGGAGCCCAGAACCCGGACAGACCAATAAAAAAACAGTTAAAAATGTCACAAATCAACTTTTTTTATGATGATGTAGGCAAAACAGCTACCAGTCCACCTCATAATAAGTGGTCACTGCTGTCCATGGACACTTGCAGCAACAAGGGCCACTCATGCGTTGCCGGCTCTGAACGAAAAGGTTCATCCGCCTTTTTAAGATTAGCATATCATGGCTATAAAAAAATACTGAGGCAAGTTCGGTCCAGATCTTACTGGTACGCAAAAGAAAGGAACACATAGTGCTCGAACGCCAGGCGTCCAGATGGGGGGCGTTAAACTTCTCTCCGGTGTGTGGTGCTGTGGAGAAACTTGGCCACTGGCATCCGTTTTGTATAATTCCTCGGAACACTCTCCGTTGTATAGACGGTACAACACGCATAAGCAGTTGCGTTCTTGTGCGTGTTGTACCGTCTGCGCATGCTAAGGGGTTGCAACGCGTCAGTGAGCTCAGGATCATCGATAAGTCAAACTGTCCGGTTTTGTATCCGGTCAAGAGGAAGTAGCTGGTATTGGGGTGCTGCAGACCAGTGCTTTGTAAAGTAACACCCGATATTAAGGCTTGAGGTACTTACTAGATCTATTAAGCACCCAAGCTTTTTCACACAAACTTGTGTCTTTGCTGGGTTAATCCAATCAAGTTTTGTTGGCTCCAATTTAGACTTGATCCAGTAACATCTCAATCTCGGTCTTCTTCCATCCGAGGGATGTTTAACCGACCAGTGTAAAAAGTGTCAGTGCTGTCATCCACATAGCAACGAATGCTGTTATTGCGTACAGCGTGAGCGACAGAGCTGATCTTTGAAAGAGAAAAGATTTATTTATTTTCAAAGACATTTAAATTGACGGATTAGTTGGCGACCCAAAACAGGAAATTTTTAAACCCGGACTACAAATGAAACCCCCCCCGGACGCTCCCCGGACGCCCCGTAAACTAGAACAAATCCGAGGAAACCCGGACGGATGGCAGCCCTACCCCAAAGTAAGCACTATAAGGCTTGTATTATGGGATACTAGGGTAACGGATAGAATACATATACTGTACATATTTAAGTATATTTATATAAAGTTACATATTAAACATCCATGACTGGAGTACAGATGCTCGTATTGATCACACAAATATCTGCCCCCACACTGTCGGCGACACCATGAAACCCGGCGTACAAACCACTCGGCCACGGAGGTCGTCAACTTAAGTAAACTTGGGAGGATTTGAGTAAATCAAGTCTGCGGTCCCTTGAATCTGTGAAAAAACACGCTTCTAAATTAACGTAAAAAGAAGATACAGTCACATACTACACAACTTGAGTACTTACTAATTTTTGGTGGGCGAGCCCGACTCGCACTTGTTTGTTAATTATTTGCACTTTTTTTTAAATTATTAAGTGGATCTAGGCACAGAACACAGAAACAGGTTAGAAGGGTGATCAGAGACCGTTTGTAAGGGAATCGATGTCACAGGCTCGCCTCCACTACACTTCCAACTAACAGATAATAGCCAATCAAACGACGCGACATGAAACAATCGAACCAATCAGCGCTCACACCCGAGAGCAACGACGCAATCAGAACCAAGTTTTGGTCAAGTTATGAGCATATGCTCACACATAACTGTGGTGCGTCTGCCCCGCCCACAAGGCCCTTCTAACCTCTTTCTGTGTTCTACGGATCTAGGTATACCTAGTCCTATGCATCAGGTATGTTTTTTACCGATCGAAAGTTTGTGTGACTAGAAAATCCACTGTCCATCATTCCGTCTGACTGTTTATCTTGATAAGAAAAAAGTAGACACCTTATAATTATTTTATTTGCTGGATGATAGTTATAGATATTTTAATTTGTATTATAATATATAATGCGATTCAAATAAGAATAGGAAAGCCAATGACCTCCATCTGTCTAATGTCGCTTGAAAAGTACGGTTTGAAAAAATAAAATTTGGAACCCTTTTTTAGCACTCCGCTAATTCAAGAATAAAAACCAAACAATAACAAATATTGATAATTAATATCGGTTGATATTTTTGGAGTTTACTCCTTAAGAATCGATTTGCATATATAAGGGGCCTGGTACATGAGAAAAATGTGAGGAGCGCATCCTGTGTCGCGCAACTTTGACAAACAAAGATGACGGATTGACATTAATAAACTTTTTAAAATCTGAACTTAATTTAGATATTGTTTCTGATAGAGCAATGGGGACAACGGGGTATGGTACAACCATAGATGCGGTATTTTCAAGATTCGTGAACCACGTATCTACGAACGTCCATGTGTCTTATTTTAGTTACCATAAACCACTTGTTAATGTAATTAATAATGCAGACAATGTTGAATTAATTAATATTTAAAAAAATGATAATAGTCTGATAATAATAATTACATAATTTATCAACATTCCTAATGATATATTTATGCACATCTGAAATTGACTATTGTAAAAAGTTTAATGTAAAATATTCCGTGGATTAGTTATAATAAATGTATATGAAATGAATAAATATATATTTATATATGTATATTATTTTCATTAATTTGTTAATTTACCCTTTCATACAGTATCAAGCTTTAAGTTAAATAAACTCTTTTTGCGTCTGGTTAGACTATCGAACTTAAGGAGTAAACTCCAGTCGTGCGTCGGAGCTGACACACACATTTTTTTTTTTCACTTATTGAGCTTTGGCCATGAAGGCTTGATAACCTAAATCGTCAACCAAATGTCACTTTAAGTTGCGTTCAAAATCTCGATTTCAAACTTTCGTTTACATAAAGAATGCATGTTCGTATGTGACCTAGTAATAGTGCATGATTATTCATAACTACTCCGGTGGTAATGCAGAGATGAGCGGAATAGAAGAGCTAGATTCTGATTAATGTTTTTTCTCACAGTCTTAAAAAATAAATATTATTAAAAATCGGTGGTTTTTTTTCTCAATCTTAGTAAATAAAAAATTCTGATGCTTTTTCTCACGTAATCTTAGTAAATAAGTTTTATTAAATGAAAACTTTTCTTTGCCCACTCTACCTATTTGGTTTAAATTGACAGCTATGACATCACAATATGGCGCCCAGTCGGTCCTATTCTTAGTTGAATCGCATTATAATACCGAATCACCGAGCGCTTACTCTCATTTGGCCGGTTTGTGTTGCTGTTTCTGATTTCGATAACATGAGTTAATAACATGAGCCAATTAATTACTTTGGGATAAGAACGTATCCATATGATACTGTGTGATTTATAAATCTTATACTTACCTCTTACCTATCTAATTAAACGTTTCCATTTCAGGTTCAGGCGATGGGGAGCCATTATGACCGCTTGCGCATCAAGAAACCCGACGAATTTGACATATTCAATGTTATTGTTTTGCCGTGTGAGGTCGTCAACTCTCCCGACTTTGAAATAAGAGGGAAAGAAGCCGCGTTTGTGTACATTATATTGGGCGAAGAATGCAGGCGGGTGTTGAAATCTGGTCCAAATTCAGTTAGAAACAAAAAGGTCTTGGACTGGGTAGACGACTGTGGATATTTGCGGCGCTCGTTGTTTTCTGATTGGTTCAAAAGCGTGGTGGCGAGAGCGCTAAATAAATTCAAAAGTAATAATTCGCATGTCGCTGTTTTCCAAGTAGATGGGAAAAAATATACAGTGGCACTTAGTAACGCAGGGCCCGCGATCACTCTCAATATAGAGAGTATGGATGGATTTCGAATGGATGTGGACTTTGTGCCAGCTTTGAAGTTTTCTGAGAAACTGTGGCCTCCGAGTCCTGATTATGTGAAAATTCCGAAACGTTGTAGGAAAGATTTTTGGATGGTTGTACCCAAACCGAACAAATATAGAAAAGAAGCCGTGAAAGCTCGATCATGGCGTGTGGCGATGCCACAGCAAGAGCGGGAGTTGATGTACAACTCTTACAACCTGAGGCAGGCTATAAGACTTGTGAGTATTTAATCCAGAGTACCCCAAACTTTTTTGTGTCGTAGACCCCTTGCCATGTTTTTCCGTGTTGGGTAGACCCCCTACTTACCTGATATTGATTTTTTTTCGCTGACGTAGACCCCTTGCAGTTTGTCATAGACCCCTAGGGGTCGATATAGACCACTTTGGGAATCACTGATTTAATCTATGCACCTGTTTTAACCAATTCTTAGCCGCAGTAAACGAAAATTCAGCCTTTCACACATTTACAGCGCAGAATTGAAAACGACTTTAAAATACTAGGAAGCAAACCTTAAACCTTTAACCTACTAACCAATAGTACCTACCAGCGGTATTATAATCTATAACCACAGAACACAGAGAGAGGTTGGAAGAGCCGCCAGTTATGTGTGAGTAAATACTATAGAAACTATAGAAACCTAATTCAGGCACCAGTCTCTCACAATACTATAACATATTGTAACCCACAAGTGGTATACCACAATAAACTATTTTTTTCATGTGGGAGAAAAATAAATAAATGATTGATTGATTGAATACTTATAACTTGACCAAAAATTGGTTCTGATTGTGTTGTTGCTCTCAGGTGTGAGCGCTGACTGGTTTGATTGTTAAATGTCGCGTTGTTTGATTGGCTATTATTCATTGGGTGAAAGTGTAGTGGGGGCGAGCCAGCGACATCGGTTCCCGTACAAACGGTCTATGATCACCCTACTAACCTCTTTCTGTGTTGTGTCTAACTGTATTATATACATTAATATAGAAAAGTTCTACTAATCTTGCTTTAAGCTTGATTGTTTCTTTTGTGTTCTAAATTTTGATGACTGGAAGGAAAGGAGCGGTAGAAAAGAAAATATGCATTCGAAAGATCACATAATTTGGATAGGTAGTAGGTACTTGAATACTTTGTATTGAAATCTCAACATTTCCTCTTTTATATTTGCGAATACGAAGCCAGGTCGAAGGTGCTATTAGGTACTGTATATGAATGAACAATAGTATTTAATATCGGTGGTTTATATTGTATATCAACCTCAAAATCGCACTTCAAGAAAGTAGAGTTGTTTTTCCGAAAACAAATAATGCCTGGTACGCAAGTCAGATCAGTTAAATTGATCGGAAGTCCTCAATAGCTTCCTGTACTCTTAGCACGGACCAATATCGAATTTGAATAGGTAGTTTGCGAGTCCGAAATGTCATTGTTAAATGTCTACTCATTTTTAGTTCCTGTTACGTACCTTGTGGCGCTGCTGTTCAGGTTTCCATACAAAATTTGACAATGACATTTCGTACTCGCAAACGATACGAATTCGATATTGGTTCGTGCTAAGGGTACAGAATAGGGTTGGCACTTGCCACCCGTACTTTATTATAAAGTAAATTGTACTCTATACTTTATGCCAACGATAAAGTACGCGAAAAAGCTTTATTTATTGTGGTTTGATTACTCGCTAATTAATTTTATATAACCTCATATACAAAAAGAGATTAATAGGAAGATTTTTTGCATAAAACGGACCGACAGTATGTAGAATATGTTATGCTCATTCCTGCATCGTTTTTGTGGCTGTATGGAAAGCCATGGTACAAAGGTACCATGACCTTTCCCATTGAGCAAAAGATATACAGATTTTTAGAAGCCACAAATTATTTATTAAAAGTTGCTCGAAGCACCGTAAAATATTTTGTAAGCTTATTTATAAAGCGGAATACAAAGTACTTTATTTTAGACACAAAGTACTTTTTTTTCTACCATTAATATTCATCATCATCGTCAGCCTATTAATGTCCCCACTGCTGGGGCACAGGCCTTCCCTATGGATGGAATAGGGAGATTGGGCCATGACCCACCACGCGGGCCCAGTGCGGATTGGCGGGTGCTAACGACTGCAGATGCAGCCGGGACCAACGGCTTAACGTGCCTTCCGAAGCACGGAGGAACTCGAGATAGATGTTTTGGTCACCCATTCAATGACCGACCACTGCGAAAGTTGCTTAACTTCAACCATCGCAGCCGAACGCGCTAACCACCTGCGCCATCGAGCTCCTCATTAATCATCATTAACATTCGATGTTCTTTATTTGGACAAAAATAAGGTGGCGACCCTAGTAAAGAAGTACCTTGACCGTCAATAGAATTTCACTATCTGTAGGGCGATTCTGTAAAATAAGTTCTCACTTCCGGTTTCGGTAGCTGCCATTTTAGATATTAATATGCATTACGCCATTAGGAGGCGTCCATAAACTACGTGAGGTGTTTTTTTGGATTTTCTGTCCCTCCCTCCCCCCCTGGTGAGATGTCGTGAGATTTTATTCAACCCCCTCCCCCATCCCCCAGTCTCACGTGAGATTTTTCAAAATGTGGGTTTCTTTCATAAATGCGTTGGATTGTTATTGTAAAAAGAAAAAAAAAAATGCTTCGTACTTTTATTTACGACTAGTTAAGACTACACACTCTCAGCAATATTGATTAATATTGCTGAGAGTTATAAGTGTAATAAAAAATTAACAATAGAATACTTAATAGATACTACTGTGAAAAAAAAATGCGTGATATTTGCCGAGACCCCCCCTCTCTCCAACGTAAGATTAGATGAGATTTGACTCGACCCCCTCCTCCCCTTAAACATCTCACGTAATTTATGGACGCCCCCTTACGCGGAAAAATGTCGCCATGTCTATAGAAGCAGCCCAGTATCGTATATAGAGATCGTAAGTGAGATTGAATTTTACAAAACACGTATTCAGGGGGCCATTCGCCTAACGGAAACGCTAACGCTTTCGATTTTATTGTGTTATTTCTGACCGCCGAAGGTTTTCAAATACCTCACGCTATTTTTTTTTTAATATTATTATTACCAATGCAAAAGAAAAAAAAAGAGCGCCAGTCATTTGAAAAACTCAGGCGGCTAGAAATAACAAAATGAAATCGTAAGCGATAGCGTTTTCCAAATCATACCCGTTAGGCGAATGGCCCCCAGGACAGTAAAGTTGGTGATATATAAATATTCCATCGAAACAGCAAATTGAAACAAGGTACTCTACTGGTATTTCCCTTCTCTAACGAATATGTTCATTTGTTTTTCAGTTAAAAAAGTTGCGCGATACCAAACGTTTGGATTTGATAGTAAGCTATTTCATCAAGCAATTGGTATTCATGGAGATTGACGCACGGAATGACCCATCATTTTGGACAAAGAGCCCGGCGATAATTTTCAAGGTGCTAGTTAATAAACTGTACTTAGCTGTAAAACAGCATAGAATCCCATATTACTGGAACAAGAAAAACAATTTGCTCGAAAGAATCGATCTTGCGACGCTCAAGATATACGAGCACACTCTCAAAAACCTAGTGGAGATTTTGGAACGCCCCAACGATTACATGAAAGTAGCGAATTATTTGCTCACCGCTGAGGAATTGAAACATTTCTAGGCGTCTATTCAACGTCCACGAGCTGACTGTAGAGAAGCACAAATTCATTTATTATATGTTGACTATTCATGTTGTAATACGTAGTAACTGTGTCTATAATCATAAACTTATATAAATCATAAACAAAATGTCTAATGGTATAAATAAGCATTAAATAGTAAGAAAATAAACATTAATAGAGCACAAAAGTCTTAAGATTTATTTCTTTTTCATTGTCACACTCAGACCAAATAAAAAGTATAGACGTCGTCTGCCGAACCAAAAAGTGAAGCCGATAAAACTACGCCTCGCCGTGTACATACACAGTTACACGCACACACATGCAACGAAACTACGCCTTGGATTCTCAGTCGAGCTATCCCGACGCGCGGAGTGTGACGTAATAATAAATAACAATATTTATTAGAGAAAATGCCGAATTGTGTAGTGAAAACGTGTAAAAACCAATCTTCCAAGAATAAAAAACAGGATGGAATCACATTTTATACGTAAGTAAAGTTATAAACTGCTATTTTCAATTAATCAAAATCAAATTTGAGGTTGTCGCTTTGTAAACAAAACCTGAACGAAATGTTGCCATGATTATTCGTTACAGTTTTACCCTTTTGTTGGGTAGCGTGAAATATAACGTAACGTTATTTTATTAAATACATTGTGTGGCATACTTTTATATTATTCGAATATTGTAATGCATGGATAAACAATTACACGAAACATCTTTTTTCTTTATGTATTCGTTTTTTTGGGATGTAATACATATTATATATTATACGTTTTTTTTAAGATTTCCTAATCGAGATCAAGATCTAAAAGAGAAGTGGATTGCAGTCATTCGTAAGAGTAGAAATGAACCATTGTGGCAACCAGCTTCCCGCAGCGTGGTTTGTTCGACTCATTTTCAGAGCGACGATTTGTACTACACAACAAAAGGGTTACGTCGTGTAAAACAAAATGCATATCCAAAGGTATTTTTTTTACTATTATTATGGTTACTTAGATTAATTTATATTTTAAAGATTCCAATAATTTATTTGCTAACTGCTTATTGTTTGTACAAGTCCCACCATCTATCATGTTGTGGTAGAACTACTTGCTTCAGTTTCCCCATTTTGCCGTATTATGCTACTAAATTAAAGCGAACTTACTTGAATTAAGTATCATTGTTCATTAAAAGTATTAGTACAATAGTAAAAATAATGTTAATTTGGTACTTAGCTAATTTTAAACTCATCCTTGACCGCAACTGTGCACACTAGAAAAATGCCTCATCTAATGTGCACACCGTTTTAAGATGCATCTACTTTTTAATGGCCTTTTTGACCCGAAATTCGCGATGTTTGTGGATTTATTTTATTATGTTCTTGTATAGGAACTAGTGATTATATTTTGTGTATTCTATAGAAAATTTTATGTACATTTTAATAAAAGAAACTGTTTATCAACATTTGTATATGCTTTTCGTTTTATCGACATAAAGTTGAGATGACTGATTTGGTAGCGATTTCAAGTGCCTTGTTGCGAGTGCTTGAAACTATAAAATGTACAAACCTATTCCATCCGAGACTTGTAACTAAAGTAAAATAAACAATCCAACATAATTAAACGTCAACACATAAATCAAGGCACTTGGATCTCGCATTTGTTTTTATCAACACTTGAAACACGACCCTTTTTTTTCTGTTGCGTGTTATATTTTATAATTATATTTGGTAAGTTATTATATACATTCATTTATATATAGTACATTCTATATGTACAAAAACCTGGATTTATAATTTACAAATTTTGAAAATATACCTCATTTTACCTATTTAAACGACTTTTTTTATCTTTCCTGAGTTTACCATAATGTAATTAAAATAAATTATAGACATGACGCATTGTGTACACACTGTTTTATTGAAAATTTTATGGAGAATCCAAATATACGTTTGTGAAGGGTATTTTTACAAAATAACAATGAAATCGGCAGAACAATGCAATCGTTCCCACCCACGGGCGGGCGGTCCATAAAGAAGTCCGGCACTTGTAGGTGAGAACGGCGCATGACCTTTGGCTCACGAGAGGTTTAGAGAATAAGCTTACGATATTTTTTTCTAATATTTTATAACGTTATTAATAACGTTATGGAATAACGTTATTAGATTTTTCTAATATTGGGGTGTTTTATATAACTATGGTAACACTGGCTAATGCACTACATACATAAAAAACCGGCTTCACTTTTTGGTTCGGCAGACTCCGTCTTTACTTTTTATTTGGTCTGAGTTGTCACACTAGCAGTGTTGAGTTCTTCATGTATAAAAAAATAATTATTAATCACAGAGACGTTAAGTTGTAAAATACCTATTTTCAATATACGATTCCTGAAGTCACCTTCCATTAAATATTTAATTTTGTTATAACAATTAATGGTGTCAATTCTGGCGTGATTCTCTAAACTTAAAACTAAATTTAAGGTCAGTCTCACCTTTTCATTCTGTATAGAGAAGGACAAGGATGCACTGTTGTCAAATTTAAGTTTAGCTTCAGAGATTCATGCCAGAATCGACATCAATGAAATATTAATTTAAACACATAGATTGAAAATGCCGTGTCATGCATTGCAGAGTGATAATGTGCAATTAAAGTTAGATACTTTAAATAATACAATAACACCAGACTTATCTACACTGGTAGCCGTTCACTACGATGACGCATGAACCAGCCATCGTTTCGTTCATAAGCCGAATTTACATTACGATGTTTGTGGCATGAAAGTGTATTAG